GATTCAGTTAGATCATCCTTGCAGAAGATGGAAAGACCTATTTGTATTATCGGTCTTTACTTTTGTCAGTCTAGTTTGACTAGACAATCTCTAGTCAATTCTTTCTGTTTGAGAATTCAGTCTTATCACCTCAGTGAAGGAACAGGATTATAATTTTCCAGCATTCTGAGATTGTGAGCCACTTACATAGGCTCTACATAGTAAACTGCCTTTCAGATTCCAAGCTGGGAGGGAGTGAGGAAAGGAAAATGAGTAACACACATTCTCTTCCAAAGGAATCCTTAGTGCCAACCAATTCCATTTTATCCTGTAACTTTCCTATCTCTCCTGATTCAGTAAAATGATTTATCTGGCAAGCAGATCATTATAAATTTGTTATTCGGGGATACTGCATAGAATTTCAACAATATCTTAGCCAAAAAGATAGTATTTCTTTTTAAAATTAAGACCTAGTTGTTAATATATTATGGAAAATTTCAAACAAAAAATAGAATTGTAAAATAAACTAATCATAACCCCTATTTATCCATTACTCAGCTCCAATATTTACGATACACTCAACGTTGTCTCATTTAACAAGCCCCAGCCCCTGGATTATTATAATTTTTTTTTTTGGGGGGTGACCCCACATCCTGGCCATTGGATTATTTTAAAGCAAATCTCAGGCATTGTGTCATTTTGTAAATACCATTATCACACCTGTAAACAGAATACTCCAAAAAACACTATGTGGCTAATACCATACACCTAGTTAGTGTTCTAATTTCCCAAACTGTGTCATAAATATATTTTTTGCAGTCTGTTCAAATCAAGATCTAAATAAAGTCTATACATTGCATTTGGCTGATATGACTCAAAAGCTTCTATTTAAGGCCTGTTTCAATTTATAGGTTACTTTTCCCTCCATTTTTTTTCCTGTCATTACTTCATTGAAGAAATGTCACTTATCTTACAAAATGTCCCACATTTATTTTTGTTGTCTGTATATACTTTTGCATGATTAAAAAAACCCCAACACATTATCTCACTTTGTCTACATATCTACCCTATGAAGTTAAGTAGGAGAGATAATTTTTCCATTTAGCAAGTTAGGGTACAGAGGGATGAAGTAAGCAATCTGCCCAAACTGAGAGTTAGTAAGTAGCTGAACTAGGACTCGAATTCAGGAAACCCATTCCACAGACAAGAGAGACTGGGCCTCGTATTTCATATATTAGAGCAATACTAAAAGCACCAAAATATCCTGAAGAGACATTTGAATCAAAAAAGAAAAAACTATGTTCAGTACAATTTTATAAATGTTTTATGATTTCTTAAAAGTGATTCATATATATTTTCTAGGCACCATTCTTCATGAAGGGGTATCTGCTGAAACTCATTATCTTTACATATCTACAGTAATATATGTACCTATACGAGTTTCTTGAATTTATTCTTTAATAGTAGTCACGTTTATGTATTTGTTATAACAGATTATAAACTTTTGCATGCAAAATACAGTTTTACTTTCTTTGTACCTTCTCAGAACCAAATGTATATGACTGATATTCAGGATCTTATTAGTGCCAAAACAAAGGCAAGTTCAGGCTGTGTGAACTCTGGTTCAATACTGAGGTAGAAACTAACCATAGTGTTTTCTAAGAATAATGAATTACCTTCTACGTCTCTGCTTATTTTTCACTGCCATCTACTGGCGCCTAGTGTTTGTGACTAAAATCCTCCAGGGAAGCCTATCATACCAAACCAAAACCAAACTCGTTGCCATCAAGTCGATTCCGACTCATAGCAACCCTACAGAACAGAGAAGAACTGCCCCATAGGGTTTCCAAGGAGTGGCTGGTGGATTCAAACTGCTGACCTTTTGGTTAACAGCCAACCTCTTAACTGCTGTGCCACCAGGGCTCCTATACATAAAGGAGAAACAAATTATGACATCATAGACATTTTTTTGGGTAGTTCCTTTCCAAGGAATATGTACTTACTTTGATAGGTGAAACTACCTTAAGTTACATAATAAAAATTACCAACTTCTAAAAGAGTTACTGTAAAATCCCTAAGCATTATAAGGGCTGTCAATTAAAACTGAGACCAGCTACAATTTAGAAGTCATAAAATGATGAAATTATAATTTCTAGGCAACAATTCTTATCACAGATGAATTGCTGGCAGCTTAGTAGTATAATACTTATAATTTTAAACAAATTCAACAATATACAACAATACTTGTGGTTATTTGTTCAAGTGTACACTGTACACCTATGAGTCAAATAACGTGTTAGGTTCTGAGAACTCAGCAGAAAGTAAGAGATATGGCCTCTATCATGGAATACGCTCATAAACATGGGAAAGGAATTTCTTATCATTTAGGTTTTTCTAGGTTTTTATGAAACACACCAACAAAATGAATTATACCTAATTTTCAAGGCTGGCTGCCTGATACAATGCACTCTGGCCTGCTGGAACTGGTGCCCTGTTACCAAAGCCAGAAGCACACAAAAATGTTGTTGCTGAAAGAAATGGCATGTTTCACCTGGCACCCCTTACCAGTTGCTGTCGAGTTGATTCTGATTCATACTGACCCTATAGGACAGAACAGAACTGCCCCACAGGGTTTCCAAGGAGTTGCTGGTGGATTCGAACTGCCGACCCTTTGGTTAGCAGCCAAGCTCTTATCCACTGCACCACCCGGGCTCCTCTATTGGGTCGACGTGTCCATTAAAACCTCTAACTCTGCCAGCTGTTTCTGAAATACCCAGCAACACTGCTGTTTTAAGTGCAAAAGATGGTCTCTTGACGTATGTTACTTATATGATACATGTTAACTTACATGACTCCCAGGTGGCCCTGGCTTTAGGTTTGATTCCAAGGCACATAACTTAGGCCACGTTACCAGTTACAGGAGTCATAATATTTACTATTTCCTTTACTACTTAATAAGTTTCCCAATAATAAGTTCAGGAAATATATTTATGGGTAGTAATACAAGTGTCAGGTTTGGTTTTTGTTTAATACAAGTGGAGTCCCTAGGTGGTACAAATGATTAAGGTGCTTGGCTGCTAACCAAAAGACTGGAAGTTCAAGTCCACCCAGAGGTGCCTCAGAAGAAAGGCCTGGTGATCTACTTCCAAAAGATCAGCTAGTGAAAACCCTCTGGAGCATAGCTCTACTCTGACCTACCTGGGGTCACCATGAGTCAGAATCAACTTGACGGCAACTGAAAAAAAAGTAATATAAGTACCTATAAACTTACTTATGAGATCACCATCAGAACTGTGAATTACAGACACTTGGGAGACAGGGACCATGCCTTAAATGACTTCTGCACACTACTCTGTGTACTGGTACATTATATTCAGTAAATATCAAGTAAGACTTCTTTAGACATTCCATTCTCGGATTTCTGTAGAAACAAGCCAATTAAAAAAAAACAAAAAACTAGCCTAACAAATGAAAGGCACTTGCCAAAAACTGAACATAATTCAAAAAGGTATTAAATTAAGGTTAGAAGTGGTGACTACTTCACATGTCCTTGAGTGTATAAAGTGGAATCCAAGATATGTGGATAGTAAGTGTATGTTAGAAAAAAAATATGGGGAAGAATATGAAGAACAGAGTTTGAGCTGAAAATAAAGTCTATTTTTATATAAATTATAGCTATAAAATGACAATTATGGGGGAGGGGTAGAGTGATACTGAAGAAAAGAAAACTGCCAAACACAACACAACAAAACATAATTCTAATGGATTTTTGGAAAAATCAGTGTTTTTTTTTTTTTTTTTTCCCAGTGGCCTCTTTTGATCAATTGGCTTTTTCACGATTCCATACAGTCTGAATTATAACTTTACAACCACAAGTTACTATTCATATTTTGTTACAATGCAAAGGAGAAAAATTTCTGATTCTTTGATTCTGAACAACTGAGAAACTAAAAGATGCCATCCTATATTTATATTTGATTTTCTAATAAAAATAACTTCAATTATTATGACAATATTTATCTGAAAAAGGCAATCTCTGACAGTACAGTAATTAATTAAATAATTAAATCATTGGGAAAAACCACAGGATCATTATGAGCTCTAGTGAAACATCTGTTAAGTCATTTTTCCTGTTTGAATAATGAAGACACTGAACAAGAGTGAATAACCAGAACTATGAAGACAAAGGCAAATGTAAATAAAAAATACAGCTCAAAACACAGAAAGCCTAGAAGACAAGTATTAGAAAAATGAACTATTACAGGGACATTTTTCATAAATGTAATTTTAGAAAATAAACACATGTATCTTTAAAATATGGAACTCAAAATACCTGATATATTTAGGATACTCTACAATGCCCAGTTAATTGCTATAATTTTTTCTCAAGTTTTTCTGGATGCTTAACAATTTATTGTTATAACCAAAACCAAACTCATTGCCATAAAGTCAATTCCAACTCATAGCGACCCTAAAGGATAGAGTAGAACTGTCCCATAGGGTTTCCAAGAAGCGGCTGGTGGATTCAAACTGCCGACCTTTTGGTTAGCAGCTGAGCTCCTAACCACTGTGCAACCAGGGCTCAGACCAAACCCACTGCCATCGAGTCCAACTCATGGTGACTCTGTAACACAGAGTAGAACTGCCCCATGAGGTTTCCAAGGAGCAGCTGATGGATTTGAACTGCCGTTTTGGTTAGCAGCTGTAGCTCTTAACCACTGTACCACCAGGGCTTCGTATTTATTGTTATAGAATCCAGGAAAAAAAAAAAAAACCCAAGCCATCGTATTTTCAATTGCCTCATATGCATGCGAAAGCTGGATAATGAATAAGGAAGACCGAAGAAGAACTGATGCCTTTGAATTACAGTGTTAGCAAGACTTCATCTCATGTACTTTGGACATGTTATCAGGAGGGACCAGTCCCTGGAGGACATCATGCTTAGTAAAGTGAGGGTCAGTGAAAAAAAGGAAGACCCTCAATGAGATGGACTGACACCGTGGCTGCAACCATGGGCTCAACATAGCAACGACTGTGAGGATGGTGCAGAACTGGGCAGTTTTCCCTTCTGTTGTAGGCAGGGTCGCTATGAGTCAGAACTGACTCAAAGGCACCTAACAACAATAGCCATTTATAGGATTTGTTTACTTACTGTAGCAAAAAAAAGTTCTCAATTGTGAAAAATTTAAAGCAATTCTTCAACATTTAAAAAGAAAGAAAACGAAGAATCTTTTCACTATAATATGAAAATAGGGTATCTGTTTATTTTTCCACATCGTATGTTTTTCAAATGAAATATATGGCCAGAGATAAAATTTTTAGAAAACCAGGTAACTGAAGACCAAGTTGTACCTTTTAAGGACGCATAAAACTTTATGTGAAAAAGTCCACTTTGTACATCTTAGACATGTATGTAGATACAGCAGGGCAGGCTCATGTTCAACTCAGCCACCTTAAAAATCATTTCCAGGAGTCAGAAATCGATGGCCCAGGGAATGAATTTGGTCTATGGACTATTTTTGTATCGCCTCAAGCTAAGAATGATTTTTACATTTTTAAAATGGGTTATTTAAAAAATAAACACACACGAAAAACCCACCTAAGAAAAATATGTGACTGAGACTGTATATGGTCTGCAAAGCCTAAAATAGTTATGATCTGGCTCTTTACAGAAAAAGTTTGCAGACCCCTGATTTATACCAATGTTGTACAGAAGTCAGGCAGTGCAATTATGAGTCTCAGATAATGTTCATTCCCACCATGAATAAACAAGGTGCCTTCTGATGTCATTTGTCAAAATTTCTTTTTCTTTCAAGTTTCTTCATCAAAGTTCATCCTATAATAATAATGTAAAAGGTGGTCAAGAGAGAAAAGAATAAGCATGAGTTTATAATGTTAAAAACAAGGAAAGAGAATAAAAACTAATTGACATGTTACCTTTTCAAAAATACATAGTATTATTATTTAACAGATCAATATATGACATACACCTTGCCTTACTATAATAATAGGGAAAAAAAGAATATCTCAAAAATAGTTTTTACCTGCCCACAGCAGATACCAACATCTATAGTTTTATATACTTTCAAAGTTATATTTGACATGCTCTTTAACTTAATTCTAGTTATAAAATTCTGGTTTATAATTAATAATGTATTCTATTTCAAATGTTTAACTTAAGATAAAAGTCACAAATTCTAGAATAATCTTAAGAAAACTAACATAACCAAAACATTAGAAAACATATTTTTCTTTACTGAAACCAAGAAAATTCACATTCATACCTATCTCTTTGATTTAGGTAAAATATAATTCTCAAAGCAGGCTGTAAGGCTATATATATCCGGTTCTGCAGTATAAATGAATTACAGCAGAACCTATATTCTACTATGGTTCTACAAAGCAGATTTCCTCTAGATCTTTATAGGGGCTGGGCTGTTCTTTTGTCCTTTTGCCTACAGGGGAAGAATCTCAGATACCTCATACGTGATTGTTTTAAATTCCATTTAGAAAGCACTCCAACATTCATGGACACTTTGGTCTGTTTCTAAGTATGCCCTAGAATGACAATGTTTTAAATGAGAAAAAAAATGAACTGCCTGTCTTAAGGGAACAGGAGGAGAGAGGTTGCACTGCTTCTTGACAGATTAAAAATTCAAAGGCAGACCAAGGTGAATATGGGGTCTAATACATCCTGCCTATACCAAGAAAAAATAATATTTGTTATCCAAATGTGTTATGAGGCTACAGTATGTTTACTTCTAACAATTCAATGCTTTATTTACATTTAATTAAAATTTAAATAATCTATGGCCATAGTCACTATTTTGTTTTTTTAAAAAATTTTATGGTTTTACTTGTCCAAATTTCTAAGCATTTCAGTGCCTAAAAGTCACATTTTGCATGTCATATTTTCCAAAGTAGAAATTTCCAAGTATTTTTATTATTTTTGAAGCTTCATTTCACCTGCTTATTGACACACATAATGAGTAACAAGAATGAAATTTAATAACTTTTACTAAAGTCATCTGTAAGCTTAGTCCTTACCTTATTTCTCTTTCCTTGATTTTGCAGCATTTCCAGTTTTTTATATATCAAGGCAGCAATCTCTTTTGCATCTCTAACATCTATTTGCTCTCCCCAAGTATTTCTCTAAAATGAAAAACACTCTTCTTATAATCTTTTCAGTTTCCATCTAAGAAACTAGATTAAATATGCCATAAATAGTCCTTTTTTTTTTTTTTACAAAAATTTAAGTGTCTGAAACTCAAATTTCTTCAAAGAAATAATGCTGCATAAGCACAGTTTACCCGTGATGTACCTGAAATGAATACTAATAACAGTGTTACGGGAACATGTAAAATAATTCCTTGAGAAAACACACTTCTAACTCAGAATACCTCAGGACATCTAATTTAAGAAAAGATGTGCCCGGAGGACTGAAGTGACTTTAATCTAACACAGTCATTGGCAGTGACAAAACGCTGACCGACTACAGTAATGGAAAGTGATGTTTATCTCCTGGTTCTCACTTGCCCACAGCATGAACGGGCTGAAAAGCAGGCAAGGGCACAGATTAACATATCCAGACTTCTTATTTTGAATCTGGAGCCACCTATTTCCTCATGCCTGGTATGAACCCTGACCCCAGATTATATGCTAAGATTTTATTTGTGTTAAATATCAGTATGGCTTGTGTTTCTGACTTGCAGCAGCCTGTTTATTTCAATCATTATTCCGCATTTGTCTTCCCGTCTGGTCTGGACCTCTGGATGCCACTCCCGATCTTTCAGTTTGGACGGGGACATTTTGGGTCCTAACCCTGTCCTCTGGATTCCTCAGGACATATGGTGTCATCTTTTCAAGTGAACACCCCCTCCCCCTGCTCCCAATGGGCTGGTTAATTCTGTGACCACTCATTATAATGACACTTCCTAACATCATTCTACCTGAAAAAGACCCTGTATTTACACCACTCATTTCTCAGTTGTTCTGAGAATTGGGAAGTAGAGCTGTTGATTCCAAAGCAATGAAGACTCAAGCTCTGGTATGAAGTTCTTTTATCTCCACTGGGTTCTATTTCAGACTGTTCTTGAGATAGCTGTTTTTTTTAAAGAGATAGTCTCTTGACAAATCACAAAACTTCCCCTGAAAAATCTAGATGCCTATACCTAGATGACCACCTAATTTCTTTATTTAGCTCTATTTCAAACTGTATTATATGTAGTTACCAATAAATAATATCAGATTTTAACCTCATATTCTTTCTCAAAATGTATATATTAACATATTTGAAATTATTTAGAATATTTTACCAGGAAACATGAGTATATTACAAATACTTGTTTAGTTTATCACAGCTCTATTGTTGAAAATATCTTAGATTTTTACTTAGGAAGACTGCAAAGGTCATGAGTACTTTCAGTTAGTAATTACACTGGCTGAAAGACATGCTTTTGTATCAATGATCACAGAGATTATCATACGAATTTCTTTATGACCTATTGGTAGACGTATAGTGTTCTTACTGGAGGAAAAAAAAAAAAAAGAATACTGTCAGTGGCCCTAAAAAGTACCTGACTGAACCAAGGAACCCTAACTTTTATTCTCTGATTTAAACTGTTAATAAATATTCTTCAATATAAATGCTCAGGTACTAAGACTCAAGAGTACAAATGCTAACTAAATTTGTAGTGTACAAACAATACTCATGTTAATAACGACAGGTCCTTGAAAATTCACCTCCAGAGTAAGGTAGCTAAGTAGGCATCAACAGGTTACTTTCTTCCTTCTGAGCACTATACTTGACTATATTGTGAAGAGTAAGGGAAGGGTAATCCATCCTTATAGGCATAAGGTTCACTTTTCTCAGGCAAACGTTGCTGAGCTTAAGAGTAATGGCTTATACGCTCATCAGTGTACCTTCTGCAAGTTATTCAACAAATACTGGGTTGCTCTGAGTAAAAACATACTGTAGGTTATATTTTGCTTATCTCTGATTTCTCCTTGTTAGGTGCCGTCAGTTGGTTCCTACTCAGAGCCACCCTATGTACAACAGAACGAAATACATGAACGATTTCTCCTTAGGGGGGAATATTATATATAGATTAGAGAAAGGATTAAGATAATTAAATATGATTAAATAAACTAAACTATTAAAAAATTAGATAAATTATTAATTAGATTGTTCATCTAAGCCAGAAATAGCTAGTAGGTAAATACGGCCCACAGACAAATTCTGCTTGACTCACAGTGTTTTAAAACATTGGATTAGTTGCCAACATTTAAAAATGAGATTTCATAACAAAGTCTAACATTCCGGCTTCTCTGGAAACATGGGAAGAACTTGTGACAAGGGCCTGCATCTCCCGCAGGATCTGAGGGGGTGGCATGTTCTCCAGATGACCACATCTGCCACTCCATATTATACCAGGCAAGGGGCAATCACTTGTGTGGCTTTTTTCCCTCCTATAGGCACGTGAATTTGTGATCCCAGCTCTCTTTCTCTCAAGTGAAGAACTGTCATCTTATTCTTGGACGATGGCTCATTTATAAAAGAAAAAAAATCTCCTTTTAAGGCTGTGGCTCTTAATAACAAGAGGAAAATACAATTATTTCCATTACTCTCATCCTCGACATTTCGAAATCATCCACAGACACTGGAGTCACAAAGACACCAAGGAAGAATGCCACCACAGCACCTGAGTAAAGGAGGAAGGATGAGTACAGATGCTGGTAGTTTATAAACAGTGATGGGCGCAGGTGGGAGTAAGGGGAAGGAGTTGAGGTAGTTTGGTTTTAAGCTTCTTGATTTTCTTGGTAAGTCAGAGGAGTTAATCAGTTATGAGGGGTGCTGATATGAAGCTCAAACTGCCCCCCCGCCCCCCACCATGCATAGACAGCGACATACATGGACGGGTCCCTTCTGCCCCCCATAAGAACATAAAACGAAATCACAGAAATACAAACCTGCCAATCAGGTATTTTAAACAATTATTTACTTAGTATCTTCATGGAATGCTAGAATTGGAGAGTTCTTAAAGATGATATAAACCAAACTCTTTGCTTCATAAGTTAGTGAACTAAAGTCCAGAGAGAGTGGTTTCTGCGAAATCACACAACAGGGGCTTAACGCCAGGTCTCTTAGTCTATTGCAGTTTTCATTATACCATGGTGCTGTTTTAAGACTGAAGGTATTTACAAGTGGAAAACCTGAAGCTCTAAATGGCAATATGCTAATCATTATACAATAAACTATATTACTCACATTCTAAGGAGATGAGATTCACACGTGTATGTGTGTATATAAATAAATTCTCATCTCATTTTTTAGTTTTCCATTTTATCAGAAAGTAGGGAACTACAATTGATTAGAGACGGAATTTTGGATGGTGAGGAAAACACCTTTCACCAAAATAAGTTTTACTTGGGAGGAGGCTCAGAGAGCAGAGAACAGGAAGTTCTGGGAGAGGAAGTAACCAGATGTATAAGAAGAAACAATTCTTTCTCATAGATATTTAAAAATCTGAACCACCACTGTGTCAAAAAGTCAGTCAACCAAGCAATCCGATGTTTTTTCCTGGGATTCAAAGTAGTAGTAAATTGTTTTTCCTTGTCTTTCTCTCTCTGCCTTTTTCTTTTTTGAGGGGGAGTGGTGTATAGGCTATTTAAAAAGTATCGTAATATTCTCTTAAATGTTTTGTTCTTCATGGAGAAAATATTATAAAAGTAATACATGTTAATTCTGTAACAAGTAGGAAATACAAAACTTTAGAGAAAATAAATTACCCTGAATGCCACCAACCATAGAAAACCACTATTACTATTTTGATGTATCTTTTTCTAGTATTCTTCCTACTCAAGAGGATAAAAATTTTAAGACATAAGAGATCATATCAACTATGAGATGAAAAAACCTTTTAAGATCACTTGATATATATGTAAATAAGTAGAAGCTTATTTCATTAATATGCAATGAAACAAAAAAAAAACCAAAGGGAGAAGAAATTAGAAAAAGGCAAATCTCCTTTTGAAGGGAATACAGAAGAAAGCCTGTACGTACCTTTGCTCTTTCATAGGGATAAAATTTAACAGTCGGATAGGCTCTGATACCAGCTCTCTGGCATGTTTGAGCATAAGCCTGACAGTCTACTTTTCCAGCTTTCACTTTTCCTTTAATCATCTGAAAACAGAAAACACATAGTTTGCCATTTCCTCTTCGGCATAAATTATTTTGGCAACCACAAAGCTAATATGATACTAAAAATTTCAAATCTTTATAAATCTAAGGATTAGATGTTTTAAAAACTTAAATTTTAATTCTTATTCAAACAAGATAGTTTTCCAAGTATTTCCGGGTTCCTTAAGCCTGCTACTCACTCACCCAGCACCACCTCTTCAAAAAGCAGATAAAATCTCCTTTGCCTCATCAAGAAAATTGAGAAGCTTCATGTTGAAGTACTTCAACTTCCTCCTGCTACCTACACCTTTGGCCATCACACCCACAAACGTCTGTCTGTGTTTTCATTCTTCCTCCTTTCTCTGGCCTCACTTGCTGAGGTAGCATTCTTTGTCTTGAGGAAGGCTGAATCCTTGACCTACCTTTGGTGGTCCTTCCCTGTCAGATCTCTTGCTCTCTCTTCAGCTTATATACATATGATCAAAAAGAGAATCCTTCCCTAACTGGTTCCTCTAGCTAGTGCCCGGTTGTTCCTCCATCCCTTCCCTCCTTTTTTTTTCTGAGCAGCAGTCTCTTCTTTTCCACTTTCTCATCATCTACTCATTTATCAGCACATTGCAGTCTGGCTTTTGTTCTTACTGTACTAAGGTCACCAATGAACTCCACTTGGCCAAACTGCACAGACACTTCCCAGTCTTCTTAATGGGCACCTGACACTGTGACCACTCTTTGTTTTCTTTCTTAGCATTTATGTCACTACTCTCTTTGTTTTCTTTCTTAGCATTTATGTCACTACTCTCTCCTGGCTTTCCTGCCCCTTTGGCTGTTCTTATTTTCCATCATGGGATCCCTCTTTCTCCTTTATCTGTCCTTCAAATTATAATATCCACTCAGAGTTCACGATCTTCTCACTGTGAACATTCTCCCAGGGAGATTTCCTGTAACTATATACTTATGACCCCTAACCTCTTCCCTCAGTTTCAGAGTCAACTATGTACTGGCCTCTGTTAGCTGGATGCCTCTAAGCACCTCAAACATAACATGTCTAAAACGAAGCCTTTCCACATAATCTGCTCATCCTCATGTCCTATGATTCACTCTGTTCAGCCAGAAACTACGGTCATCCTAGTTTCTTCTCTCTCCCACATCTACCAAAATCAATCAAGCACTTAATTTTATTTATTCTTAAATCTCTCTTGTATTTGTCCCCTTCTTTTTTTATCACCACTGCCCTAATTCTGGTTCAGGCTATCATCTCTCACTTTAGGGAAATTAAAGTATCTTTGCTGCCTCGAGTTTTGTCCCCAAGGCAGACGAACTTGTGCTAGGGCACGAGCAAAGCAGCATTCTCAAGCATGCATGTGTACATGCACAGACATATACATTTACACCGAAGGTCAGCAAATCCGTAAATGTTATTTTAATAAGTTTTTATGTCATTTCCAAAATGTTTATTTTATATATTATTTGTATTGTCGGTTACTTATAGGAAGGCACCATGCTGTTTTTGGTGCTCCAAATACCTTTCTCTGGCCTGTTAGCCTCATTCAGTCCATTCAGTGTGATCTTTCTAAAATGGAAAATGGATCCTACCATACGCAGTCATTCTCCTACAGCGCTAGTGATGAGCAGGTTTCAGCAGAACTTCCAGACTAAGACAAACTAAAAAGAAAAGCCTGGTGATCTACTTCCAAAAACCTGCCAATGAAAACCCTATGGATCACAACAGTTCGAATCCATTGTGCGTGAGGTTGCCATAAGCTGCGGACCAACTCGACAGCAGCTAACAACAACGCTTATACAGAATACACTCTGAAGTGTATGAAATCACTGAGGGAGAGTCTGCAGTGTGAATAGTGTAGAGGAAAAGGACTGAACCTTTTCCTCCTTGTCTAGCTACTGAGCCTCAGCTTTTGCTATTCCCCTTCTGTACTTACACTCTGGTAAAACTGGACTGAGAGTAGAGATCCTGACCATGCCTTGCCCTCTCATATCTCTGCTCCTTTGCAAATACTGTCTTCTCTGCTTGGCATGTTCTCCAGTCAACCCTTTCAACTGCTAAACTCCTAGTCATATTGTAATTCTCGTCTCAAATACTAACTTTTCTGTGGAGTCTTTGCTTCCTCCTGGCATGGTTTTGACATTCTTTTTCCCATGCTCCTCCTTCTAATTTCACTATAGACAATTCAGCAATTGTCTCATTGCACTGTATATATTTTCATTTTTATCTTCCCATTAGATTAAATCTCTCGAAGATATGGAACTTTTGTCTTTTTCTCTTTGCAGCCTCAGTACCTCGCATAATGTCTCTCACTTGTTGCTTATGATATATTTAATGAATGATCTTTCTAATGTTTAATAATTTTTTTAAATATTCAAGATATAGCTGCACTACAAAATCTATAACCAAGCTAAGTTTTCAATACCGGAGGGATGAAGGAGTAAAATATTTTGTTAGAATTATTGGAGAAAAGGGAAGTATAAGAGAAAAAGAAGATATAATAAGTAGAAAGAATGAATAACCTCTTAAGTGAAGAACCAGTCAATAACGAAAATAATCTTTTATAGCTTATGGGAGCTTTGAATACCTTTAGTAAAAAATTCCTGTAGCTTGGGATACTCAGCTTTTGTTCTGGCATAGTGGAACTGGTGCTGAGTTGCTCACTCTAATGATTGTTTTGTACAGCAAAGAGTTCCTTGAGCATGTAGGCGAGGAAGCTATTGATCTGGATTAGGTCATTAACAGAACTGCTGTGACAGAAAAGAAATACCCAAAACTCTGTATTCACCTTAATTTTACAAGCATTTACTGAGTTAGTCACTGGGACTACAAAGATAGGTAAGACATTGACCTTGCCCTCAAGAAGCTCAGAGTCTTGTGGAAGAGACAGCTATGTAAATAAATGCATTGTGCAAGTGTTACGAATGGCCACAAGAAATTAAGGTGGCACTGATTAACTGAGAAGAGCAGAGAACACAGAAGTTCAATCTGAGTGGGTTTTGTAGAATGAGGAGAAGAAAATTCGGATGATCAAGATAAGGAAAGGGCATTTGAGAGAGAGGGAGCAGCATGTACTTAGCTTAGGAGTGAACCAGAGTGTCGTGTTCACAGAACATGGTGCAGTGGCAGGTGATAAAGCTGAAGAGGTAGGAAGGGTCAGATCAGAGATCTGACGTCAGTGACCTATGTCCAGAAACTTGGTTAATAGGACGTCTGAGAAAGCAATATTTTAGAAAGATCACCAGGGCAGCACTAAAGAAGGTAGGCTGCAACGTGAGACTAATTAAAAGGCAAATATGGTAAGCCTAGGTGAGAGATGATGAAGGTTTCAGCACAGAGACTAACAGTGGAAACAGAAGAGGACAGATCTGTAAGACATTATTTAGGAGCTAGAACTGACAGGATCCTAGTGATTGCCTGGAGGGCAGTGGAGAATTGGTGGGAGGGGAAGGAAATAGGGGACACGAGGGAAGAGTGAGGTTTCTAACTTTTATGGCTAGGCAGATGAAGTCATCAACCAAGGCAGAGAAGGTGATATCTAAAAGCTTTAATAAAGAAGAAAGAAATCTACTGCAAATATTATAGTCATAGGAATGGAATATAGTTTTTTAAAATTCAGAGGAAACTTTTAAGAAAAAAAATTAAGAATTATATGTACAATGGTTTATGTAATTATTAAAAGATGCATGTAATGTAACTTTTTTAAGTCGACAGACAAGACTTACCCTAGCCAAGAGTTCAAACTCTGGAGCAAAATTTTGGCAAGGTCCACACCATGGAGCATAGAAATCAACGACCCAGTGATTTTTCCCTTGTAAAACTTTTTCACTGAAAGTCTGAGGTGTTAGATCTATGGAGACTTGAGGTAAAAATCTGTGAAAAGGGATCAAAATTATTTTCCATTATAAACAAAGCAAGCAAGCATCTAAAATGTAATATTGCAAGGTTTTCTAAGTTAAAAATAACCTCAAAGAATGGAAAGCACAGCTGTGTCTTGGTAAATTATAATTCTTTATTTCACTAAGTATATTAAAATGTTACAATCTTTAACAACAGTATATTTATAGACATAAGAGAAAGGTAAATGGCTTTGAATCTATTTATACAATGATACATATTTTAATTACTCACCCTAGACCCCAGCTTCTTAAAGAATATGCATCCCTATTCCAACCATTGTAGCTACTGCAAGAAGAAAATACGTAAGTTGTAAACAGAATATTTTCTATCACTGGATATATACAAAAAACAATCTTAGTGTAGAAATTTTATAAATAAGTTTAATTGATTGACTTCATCTAGCACGTCTCTTCTCAGATAGATCCCGCTACAACTAATGTTTACACGGCTTCTCAAATACATTTTTATTTAGTCTTGATGTCTTTTTGAGCTCTAGACTTGCCCACTAGACATCTTACAGATCCATGAGAACCGCAAAACTTAAATGTCTGTCTGAGGCTTTAGGTTTTGAACTTTTACTCAAGCTATTAATGTCTCAAATTCCTACCCATTTTTAAAACCTGTGTCAAGATGCCTCGTAAATGCAGCATTTCATGATATCCTAAAATAGCTGCGATTCCTTTCCTCTTTGAAATCCATGGCTCATTTTTACTTCTTTAATAACTTTACTCATATTCTGCCTTGGATGTGAGTTTTCTACCTGAAATACCATATGGTGTTGTGGAAAGAGCATGGGCACTGAGAAAGACCTGGGTTCAAACCCTAGTTTCAAACCTTATTAGCTGTGTGACTGGGAAAGTTGTCTAATGTCTCAGAATCAGAGTTTACTTATCTGTAAATAAAGGTAATACTTTCTACCTCACAAGATACTTGTGTGAACTAGTGGAAATACTGTAAAGTATCTAGTACAGCACCTGAAATCAAGTAGAAACTTAATAAATGTCAGCTTTTCCTCTCCTCTAGACTGTAAGCATCATGAAGAGTGGGAGTGTTCAATTCTTTCTTTTGATCTTCTGAGCAGCTCAATAAACACTCTGTCTTAAACACTGCAGATCCCGAATAAATATTTCTTGGGTTACTTTTAATTGGTTAGTATTACTTTTAACTTTTAATTGTATAAATAAATTAGTACGGTAAACGTCTTCAAATTTGAGAGAATACTTACTGATATTCATAAGCTTTATTTGATTTTTGGGGAAAAAATCTTATCTCAGGGTATTGTTGAACATTTTCTTGGGCACAAAAAGAATGATACTGTTGGCAGTCTACACTGCCGACATTGATCAGTCCAGTTAACGACTATAAAAGAGAAAAAAAGAGATAACTACATGAAAGTGATTAGAATAAAATTACCTCCATAATTATTTTATATATGTTTACAATAAGAGAAATTGCTACTGTGAAATAGTTATATATCTATCAGTGGTTTTAACCAAACAAAAATGGTTAAGGGTTTATCACGTAATATACCAATTACAGTAGTGAACTGGAAATATAATTTTGTAGTCAAGAACTTAATATAATTAAACAATTGACTTCATCTATTACATGGGAAAATTAAATATTTCTAAAATTGAAAGTGTTACAAATGAAGAACTAATGTCTTTGCAATGATGTTTCAAAAGAGTTACATTTTACAATGCAGACAAACATTGTAGGTGTACTGACTCATACAGGAATAAAAAAAAATACTGAAAAGAAGACAAAAATGTATTATCTTAAATGTTAAGATACTGGCAATCACTTTAACTCTGAAGTTTATTTTTTTATCTTAGAAATATGAAATATTAATTGCATTTTCCATTCTAATATTGTTTCTAATCTTTCATTATTTATAACATTGTGTCTATATGTAGAAAATTTTCTAAATCCATATATTTTAATGATCAAGGCTATTTTTTCCTTACTTTTAAGTCCCACAATACTGTGAAGAAATTCTATCATTAAGCTCTAAAAAGAAAGGGACAGAAGAAATTTAAACAGAAAATAAAGGGGAACTTTGGGTTAATGTTAGCAACAATTTGGTCAAAAGCATACCAGGTGACACAGGAAAAAACAGGCAAATCACTCTACCATTCACGTAGCAACAGGGCCATAGAGAGTTGGAATTAAGTGTAATGATCAAAACTGTTATAAACGATAATCTACTTGTGGGTTCATTCATCTTAGTTTCAAAATAATAAATAAATCTTAGCAAGTATTAAGATTTAAAATAAACTATTTTACTATACCCGGGCCATTCTTTTCCATTCTGGCATTAAGATTTGACATGGATGACACCATGGAGAATAGAAATCGACCATCCAGACTTCGTCATGTTTTCTTTGCTTAACTAGTTCGTTGAAAGTGGAGGGTGTAAGGGAGACCACTGAAGGATTCGTAAGATCCTAAAGAGAATATGGTTTCCATTATAACAAATGTAAAAAAGACTCATTTATACATTTTTGGTAAATTACTGGTATACATCATTTAGAAAAGTTCTTGTTTTGGAGAAATCAAAAGATACTTAAAAATTTTTAAAGAAAATCTATGGTGAATCTTAAAAAGTGAGAAACAAGCCCCTAATGTATTTTTTAAGTGTGGATTTTGCCCAGTAATTTTCTTAAATAAAGCTATATTTTTCTCTTATCTCTTTGTATCACTAAAATCATCTTCGGCAGGGAAAAAAAGGCAACTTTATTTAATGTTGTAAGTAGATGAAGCAAAAAGTCAAAGAGTTGCCTAGATGTCTACACAGGCCATATACTCCTGTTCTGGAACCAAGAGTGATTGGTTTGGAAATGACCCCTTAATTACTAAAGGAAAACTTAGCATTCTATTTTTCTGGTAATTTGTCTGGCAGTACGGCACTACCTCCCTACAGATATCTGCTCCAAATGCTGGCTTAACAAAGCTTCAGTCTATTATGACCAGGTAATATTAACCAAGATGTTAACTTCACCAGGAAAGCTATCAAAACCAAACCAAAACACAACACCGTAAAATGGTCATTAAATGGATGATAATAAGCCAGAATTCTCACTTCTTTCACTCAAGAGTATTAGCAAGAAAAAATGGAGATACCAAAGACATAGGGCCATCTGTTAATAAGGCAGCAGGTTAAGCATTAAGCTGTGTCAGCTTGAAGAGGCCCACCACTGGCGTGGCAACTGCCATTACCCATGCATTTCTGGGATAATACTGGGCTCACTCTTACGTCATCTATTCATGGCCTGGAAGAAAATTCTGTGGTGGTTCCATCAGAGAAAACAGGGCAAGGGAAGAAAAGCTGTATAGTTTCATATAATCAATAAATGGTTGTGTCCACTATGTACACGGCACTATCCAAAAAAAGGTAACAAATCAGAGCCCTTATTATCAGTTTACAATCAAATACATAATAAGAGTAAAACATCAAAAAATAACAAAATTCATTTTCTTTTAGAAAATAATGTTTTGACATAAAAAGAATAAACCCAGTTATCAAACATTATTAAGCAGTCACATAAAGTATACACATACATACAGGATTTATAGCCACAGACTATAATTTAAAATACCTCTATGAACTCCAAGATCTGTTCAGCAGAATGATGTCCTTCATATTCATGAATGTTGGACTGGTTAAATACCACTGTTGTTGGATAAGCCTTAATGTTATACTGTTAAGAATGAGAATACAAATTAAACATAAAGATTTCCTATATTTTACCTTAATTGTTTCGAATTTATAACCAGCTTGCCTTTATTTAAATGCCTAAAAAAACAAAACAAAACAAAACAAAAACAAAACACCTAAAAACCAAAAACTCACTGCTAATTTGCTGCTGGGGGACTGAAAAATCTTAGCCCAGCCAAATTTAGTGAAGGAAAGGGATTCATGATTGTACTGATGAATAAATGACCTTCATTTATGGTTACTCCATTAGCCATGAAATCCACAGGCATCAAACACTCAGAAGTTTGCGTGCTTGGTCCCTTTTTACTCTTCTGAACAAGGTGGTAAGAGGTTATGGAAAGCAGGTGTTATCTCTAGATTCTTTTTTTGGAAACCATAATAGATATTGTAATTCTTCTAGAAGCAGAAGAAAATTTTGGAAATGAAGGAGGAAGAAAAATAAATTAGTAACGGGTACACTACTATATTCTAAGTCAAAGAATGTGGTCACTTTTTATTCTAGGAATCACGATAGCCTTTATGGTACAAAACCAAAAAAACCAAACCCGTTGCTGTGGAATTGATTCTCACTGATAGCGACCCTACAGGACAGAATAGAACCACCTCATAGTTTCCAAGGAGCAGCTGGTGGATTTGAACTGCCGACCTTTAGGTTAGCAGCTGAGCTCTTAACCACTGCACCACCAGGGCTCCTCTATGGTCCAAAATGTTATAATTTCCTTCCCAGAATCAATATGGGCACCAGCCCAGGAAGCATCTTCTTCAAGCTTTTATTTTTATTTATTTTAAAAAGTTATAAAGGATCCCTCCCTACCTGTGCATTAAGGAGCCCTGGTGGAGTAGTGGTTAAGCACTTGGCTGCTAACCGAAAGGTAGGTGGTTTGAACCCACCAGCTGCTCCATGGGAGAAAGATGTGGCAGTCTGTTTCCATAAAGCTTACAGCCATGGAAACCCTATGGGGCAGTTCTATTCTGTCCTACAGGGTCACTATGAGTCAGAATCAACTTGATGGCAATGGGTTTGGTTTATCTGTGGAGTAAGAAGCCCTGGTAGTGCAACAGTTAAGCACTTAGCTGCTAACTGAAAGGTTGGTGGTTTGAACCTACCAGTGGCTCTGTGAAAGAAAAGACATAGTGATCTGCTCCCAGCCTAGGAAACCCTAAGGGGCAGTTCTACTCTGTCCTATAGAGTTGCTGAGTTGGCATTGACTTGATGGCAAGCAATATCTGTGAATTTGCTGTATTCTTAAAGTTGGTAAGCATACATTAGCAAATGGAATCCTTGACTAAGATTTAGAAATTGGAATCTTTGACTAAGATTTAGAATAGACACTGGAAACGCTTATCCAATTTTTGAAAAATGAGCTCAAATTCAAATAATTCAGATTAACAAAACAACAATTATAGCTAAATTTTAACAAGTGCTTACTATATGTTGAGCACTATTTTAAGCATTCAACATGTAGCTTCTCATGTGTTCTTCACAATGATTTATCTGATAGCTAAAATTACTAAACTCAGGCTTTGAGAGGCTAAGTGACTTGCTCTACCAATTAATCTGGTGAATCTGGCCTCTAATCCAGGTGAATTTGATACCAGTTTTAATACTGTTAAAACACTTTACTGAATTATGTATATGATATTTAATGAGTTGAGAGAAAAGTAGAAAACTGGAGGAATTCACATTAAGATAATTATTGTTCATCATATTAATGTTATATTTTTGTTTGGCATTTCTTTTCAAAGTAACATGTAAGACACTCACAACCAAAGTCCTGATTTATATTTTTAATGAAATTTCAAATGTACTGAAAAGGAGAAAGAAAAAATCTAACAAATACCTATATACCCCTCCCCTTTGACAAAGATGAACTTTTCCCCATACTGGCAGATTGCTGAAATTCTCTTAGCACCACTTCCGTGGTCCTAGTCCCCTCCTGCCCCTATACTAGGGGCAACTCCAAAACCGAAAACCAAACCCACTGCCGTGGAGTTGATTCCAACTCATAGCTACCCTATAGGAGAGAAAAGAACTGCCCCATAGGGTTTCCAAGGAGCGGCTGCTGGATTTGAACTGCCAACCTTTTGGTTAGCAGCTGAGCTCTTAACCACTGCACCACCAAGGGTCCAAAGGCCATTAGCATCCTGAAATGAGTGTACATACAATCTACTGATGTTTTTATACTTTGGTGACACGTGTATGTATTCCTAAGCAGTAAACTGTTATGTTTTGAGTATTTAAAAACTTTCTGTAATTTTATCATACTCTGTATACTATTACGCAACCTGCATTTTTCATTTTACACTGTACTTCTGAGATTCAGCAATGCTGGTAAGGATGAATCTAGTTTTAAATGCTCTCTAATATTCCACAGTGTGACTGGATCATTTATCCATATACTTGCTATTGTCACAATCCTCTTTTATGAAATGTCTATAACCTTTCCCATTTTTTTCTACTGAATTTAAAAAAAACTGACTTGTAGTCTTTAAATATTCTTTCTTTGGCAATAGTTCTAAAATTAAATGTAGTAAAATTCATCAGTTTTTATCCTTAGAGTTTGTACTTTTGTGTATCTGAAGTATGAAATTATTTCCCACATAGATGCCATACAGATTTTCCCTACAATTACTTCTCATACATTTTTAAAACACATTGCTTTCTTTTTCTTTTTTCCCCTTTTCTCTCCTTCCCTTCTATCTCCCTAACTTTTTAAAAAAATTTAGGTTTTAATAACAATATTTAAAACATACACAGAAGTAGACAGCAATAAACTCTAATGTACTGATCACCTACAATAATCATTAACTCATAGCTACTCTTAACTATACCCTCTACTCCTACCCCAAGAGTATTTTAAAGCAAATTCCAGATGATCATTTCATCTATTTCAGTATATCTCTCTAAAATATAAGGCTTTCCCCTTAGTAAAACCACAATATCATCTTTCCACCTAAAAAAGTAACAATATCTTAAATTCCTCAGATACCCTTTCATTGTTCAAATTTCCCCAATCACCTCATGTGTTTGTTTTTTCTTTTTTGCAGTTGGTTGGTTTGAACTGCATCCAAACTATCTCTACACATTGCATTTGATTGACATGCCTTTTAAGTCTCTTTCAATCTCTTTCCCTCCACTTTCAGTTTATTTGTTGACTAAACTGGATCAAGGAGTCCCTGGGTGGTGCAAATGGTTATGTGCTCGACTACTAGCTGAAAAGTTGGTTGTTCAAATCCACTCAGAGGTACCCTGGAAAACAGGCCTGGAGATTTGCTTCCGATAAGGTCATAGCCTTGAAAATCCTATGAAGCAGCTCTACCCTGCACAGATGAGGTTGCCATGAGTTGGAATCAGCTCAACGGCAACTGACAACAAACTGGGTCGTCTGTTCTGTAGAGCTCTCGACAAGCTGGGATTTGCAGATTCAAGCCTGTGGTGTCACTGGATATGTTCCTCTGTCCCTTGAATTTCCTACACGCTGGTAGATTTGGAGGGCTGGTCTGATTTAGGTTTTTTTTTTCCTCCAAAAATATTTCGCAGGTGTTATTATATACTTTCATCATAAGGTATATAATTTCCAGTTTGTCCTGGAACTTGAGAGTAAATACTTATTAACCTAAGAAAATATTTTCTTGTGAAAATTTTTCAAAAAGCTCAATAAGTGATTTAATTTCCTTCTATTAACTATACTTAGAAGACAAGTATGAAGAAACCCAAAGAATAAGAACCACAGACCACCAAAAGGTAATATTAAGTTAGACATATAAAGATCTTAAATGATTAGGATATCATGTAAACATTTTATCAAGCCAACTGTTTTCCTGATTTTGATAAATAAGACCATATCTACATTCAGTAACATATGATCTATTCATGTTTTAATCTGATCATAATTTTGTATCATTTTGTTGAAGTTATATTCCAATAATTTGTTAGTACATTAAATGGAAGATGTACATTTGAAAGTTATTTTACTGTTTTATATTAAAATAGATTGCCAAAAGACCCATATTAAATTAAAAAAAATTAGAATAAATGTTTACACTTGTGCCTTACCATGTTACAGAGTCCCTCATGAACTGTACAATCTAGTGTACCAAATTTAAGCTGACCATAAAGATGCTTTGAAGCTTTTCGTAACTCTGGCAATAAAGCTCGACATGGTGGACACCACTACAAGAGAAGAAGAAAAAAAAACCTTCATAAGTATTGAGCCAAATGAAATAAAAAATATCATTTCTTCAACAAGCACTACCCTAAGTAAGATGAACTATACTTAGCTGCAAATTTGTTGGGGCAAGTACATCAGTGCTCATTTAGAAGCAGTATGTGACACTGGCCAACAATGAATGATAACAGTTATAATATTAACAGTTCAAGATTATCTAGAAAATGTCTTTGTTGCTATGACAAGAAAAAATCCAACAATAATGAAATCTGACAGATACAAAAACAACTTACAGGGGCAAAAAAATCAACAAGCCATGGTTCTTTTTCACTGGAAGGAAAATTTTGAGGTCCAAGTGTGGTAACATGAGAATTAACACTTTCTTTGGCAAATGCAAGTATATCATATAGAATCTTCTTTCCTTTGAGATGGAATAAGAGAAAAATTAAAATTCACATTCTGCCTTTTTTATCTGTAGAAACATTTCAAAGTTTTACACCCAAATTACTAGAGAAAGTTGAGGTTTTAGTTATTTGCTATTCTATATACAGGTTTGTTGTCAAGAGTGCTCTTACCTAGCCAATGTTTGTTTCTTAGAGAACCAATTAAAATGTCAAGACCTCTTTGTTCCTTCATCCTCAGAGGCTGAATAATCACTTCCTTCAAGTGTTCTTATAGTTCTTTATGCTTACCTCAGCTATTACTATGGCCTGACTCCCAAAATCTGTATCTTCAGTTTAGACCTCTCTTAGGAATTCAAAACCCCTATCACCAACTGCCCAGGGGAAAAATTTACCTGGATGTTATGTAAGCATTTCAGATACAATACATTCAAGTTGAAGCAAATTGATTTTCCCCCAAAATTGCTCCTTTTTTCATCTTCTCTATCTTGCCAACGGCGTAATCATCCACTGGGTGGCCACATAACATACCCCAGAGTTATCCTTGACTTATTTCTCTATAAATTCCATCCACACTGTCTCTTACCATCTCCAAAGTCATTGCTGTTGCCTGAGTTGAGCCTGGCCTATTGCAATAACCAACCTGGTCTTTCTGCTTCCAGTATTCCTTAACTAATCCATTTTCTACATTGCCACCACAGTCAATTTACAAAAACCTTAATCTGATTGTGTTGTCCTGTTGCTTAAAGGGCTCTGATGATTTGCCACTGTCTAAAGAATATACTCCTTGGCTTGGAAAATAAAAGTTTTCTCAACCAGAGCCAAGTCCACTTTCCCATGTGCCCTTTGATTTATCCACTCAATACTCAAAGTCAAGAACTTGCTTTCTCCTTACTCTTTAGGTGCTATTTCTTAAAACTGCTTGACAAATTCCTCTATCTCTGACCATCCCTTAAAGGGTTCTGATTTTGATTCTCTCTAGCCACTCTACAACAATCTCATCCTTTTCCAAGGCTTTAATTACCATCAATATGCTGATTATTTAAATCTATGTTTTTCAATCCAAATTCCTCTTCCAAGGCCAGGTCTATACTTAACTGTCAACTGGGTGTCTGTACTCCAAATCAGCTCCTTCCTCAGTGTTCTCTTTCTCATGGAATGGTATATTCATTCAATTGCCAACTCACCAAGGCAGAAACATGGGTGTCATCCTTGACTTCCTCATCTCATTCCCCCATGTCTAAACAATCACTAGGTTATAATTTTGTGTTCTTGGTATTTTAAGTCTGTCTACTTCTCTTCATCCACATTACCATTATTTAGTTATGGCAGCCATTTTGTCTTACATAACGGCATCAGGCTTCTAACTGCTCTCCCTTCCTCCAATCTTGCTTCCGTCCATTCTATGCAGCCAGTCACCTTTCTAAAATATAAAACTAGTTAAATCATGTCTCTGTTTAACATCCATGAATGCCTCTGCTTTGCCGTCAGGATGAAGTCTGAATTCATTTAACTGGCAGATGAAACACATCCATAATTTGGACCTCTGCTGCCCTTTCCAGCCTCAGGTCTCATTCCTTCCCTAACAGTCAACATTTCGGCTATCCTGAAATTCTTACTTTTCAAAGAACAAATAAGGCTCTCTTATCTCTGGGGTCATTAATACAGTTGCTAATCCTGTGCTTGGAATGTTTTTGCCTCCTCTTCATTTGGGTAAGCATTATTCCTACTTCAGTTCTCAGCTAAAGATTTCTTTCTCTAGGGCCTTCTCTGACCCCAGAAGATTAGGTTAGGCGTTCTTCCTAAGTACCACTCATGTTTATCCCTTGTAGTAGTCAGTCTCCAAGATAGCCCCTAATGATCCCTACCTTGTGTACTCACACCCTTGTATAGTCCCCTTCCATGTTGTACCAGGGTTGGTGTGTGTGACGGAATATGGCAGAAGCGATGGTTTGTCTTGTCTAAAATCAGGTTATAAAAGACATCATAGCTTCTGTTTTCGTCTCTGAGGAAAGCCACCTGCCATGTCACAGCAGCCCTAGAGAGAGGTCTTGTGGCGAGGAACTGAGGCCTCTGGCCAACCGCCAGTGAGGAAATGAGGCTTCCTGCTACATGAGGCACCCTGCTTGGCACTACAGTGAGCCTGGAATGAGATTCTCCAGCCTCAGTCAGATGGCTACAGCCCTGACCTATCTTAACTATAACCTTGTGAAAAACTGAGTCAGAACTACCCAGCTAAGCTACTCCCAGAATCCTGACCCCAAAAACTGTGTGAGTTAATGTTTGTTGTTTTAAGCCACTAAGTTTTGGAGTGATTTATTACTCTGCCATTTAAAAAAAAAACAAAAAAACCCAAATCCATTACCATTGAGTCAATTCCGACTCATAGCGACCCTATAGGACAGGGTAGAACTGCCCCATAGAATTTCTAACGAGTGCCTAGAGGATTTGAACTGCTGACCTTTTGGTTAGCAGCCATAGCACTTAACTACTATGCCAATGGGCAAATTAAAAAAACGTTTAGAGTTGGGAATATTTAGTTATCTCTTACTCAGATATATATATAACTAAATATTCCCAACTCTAAACATTTTTTTAATTTGCCCGTTTACTTGTCTGTTTTCACTATTAGTCCATAATGTTAAGGTAGAGATTACATACAGTTCACTATTTTTTCTACTCTCTAGTATTGTAGCTAGCATAGGTAGATGCTTGATAACCTATTTAAACCTAACGAAAAAACATGTGTTATAAAGTTAGTGATGGCACACAAAAGGAAGTGCTTGGGGAAAAAGTGACATGAGGATCGTGTTCTAGGGCAATAACTCTGCAAATAAAACAAAGGATTAATTGTAAAGAGGAAAGACTAGAGGATGGGCAATCCTATAGGAGAATGTTATAATAGTTGAAGGGGATGATGGACCTAAACTAAGGCAGCAAACAAGAGGGAAATCTCAGAAATATTTCAGAGGTAAAAAAGAACAGAATCCCATTACTGAAATCAGGTCACTTCAAGCACTTTGAGAAGGTGGTACAGTCTTCTGGCTATAAGCCTAGGCTTTGGATTCAGAATCTACCTTGACCAGTTACTAGCTGTCTAACTTGGCGCACGGGGCAAGTTATCTAACATTTCTGGGACTCATTTTTATCCCTCACTGGGTTACTGGTTGTTACAAAGATAAAAATGGATCACGTATGGAAAGCATTAGGAAAGTGTCTGACTTACAGAAAGCATTGAAAAAACCTTTCTCAGAAGGTTTACCCTTCTGAGAAAGCTTCATTTTTTTTTTCCCCCCACTTATTTGCTTTGGGAATTTGAGCATTCTATGCTCAATTCAAATGTCACCTCCTGACCTATACTATGCAGAAGTCTCTTTATTTGATTTTATTCTAATTTATACATATTGGCCATTACAGTATTGTTCAAATCTTCTTAAAGATCTTCCTCACATACTACACTATATTCTAGACTTCTTGAGAACAGAGACCATACCTTACAACATTCTGGAGGAAAAATCCAGAGGAACATCTGAAAATTGTCTATAATGGATGAGACGCTACACTTAGCATCTCACAGAACGGAAACTGCAGGTGTTGCTTACTTTGGCTAATAAGAAGCACCCCAGCTTACTCGCTAGCCTGACATGTCCGGAGAGTTTTACTGAAACATTGATTCAAATATTGGGTAGAGAAAAAAATTATTTTAAAATGAAGAATAAAGACTATAGCTGTATGTAATTCAAAATATCCTTCTCCACAAGAAACATATTTACAATAAATGAGAGCAAAGTTATTTACAAAACATGTACTCACACAAAAGACAAAAAGAAGAATTAGAAAATTACTCTATGAAAACAAAGATAATTTTTTATCATTTTTCCTCTTACCATGATGGATTTCATATTCTTTGGTTCCTTGTCCTTTAAATACTGCTAGACATGACTGGAAGACATAGAGATTACTACAGATGTCTGGTGCAGACAAGCAGTCAAACCTGCCAATCTAAAGTAGAAGATGATGATTATGGTACTATCTGACATAAACATAACATCTTATCCATGCAATTTTTAAATACTCATAAAGATAATTAAAAAATGACATTGTTCAACACAGTTCTAAACAGAAATTAAGGGGCCATGAAAGTAAGAGATGGAAACAATTCATTTACATTTAATATCAAAACTCAATTTAGTTTAAAAGAAAAAAAAAAAAAAGCCTCCTACAGAGTTTAAAACCTGAGAAGAGATTTCCAAAAAAAGTATGACGTTGCTTAAGAACTCTACCCTTCAAAATATAGGGAATATTTACATAATCTTGGGTTGAGGAAGGATTACTTACTAAGTACAAAACCAGGAGCAGAAATAATGAAGAAAAAAGTTGACAAATTTAGCTACAGTGCGGAAGAAAATAGCATAAATAAAATTAAAAGGCAAATTATAAACTAAGAAAAAAACATTTGCAGCATTTAAGACAAAGGACCCATTAATAAAAAGGGATGGATAAACATCCCATCAGGAAAAAGAAAATGGGTCTGGGACATAAAGACAAAATAAACTAGAAAATAAATATGATGGGTTAATCATAAAATATCACTAGAAAGCAAATAAATGAAAGTGAATATTATTAATATATCACGTTTGGCCTATCAGGTGAGCGTGGTCACCAGGTGTGGAGAAACGACCACTCACATACTGTCAGTGAGAACTGTAAGTTGGTATAAACTTTCTGGAGGACTCTGATAATGAGGATGAAAAACCTTTAAGAAAATATATGAGCTTTGAGTCAAAAATACCTCACAGTAAGGAAATAACCAGACAACTGTTGCACTGTTTGATATAAAAAATAATGTAAACAACTTAAAAGTCAAAAACCAATATGGTATAACCAGTCACATAGTGAAATACTACTTAGCCTTTAGGAATGATGATACACACAATTTATTTATCATCATGTGAAGAAGTTTATGACATTGTTGAATGAAAAAATTTACGAAACACTGCACAGTGAATCCACTTTGATTAAAAAGTATACATAATAATTTACATGTGTCTATTATAATATGTATGCACGTGCACAAATATACACATTCAGACATACTCACACATATACACACTCACAAAAGCTTTGAAAGATTATATAGTAAACTTTTAACAGGGTTATTGTCAGTAGTGGGAGTATGGGTGGTTCTTAGATACTTATTCGAACTCATTATTTTGCTTATTTACGTATTCTAATTTTTAAACAATGAGCAAACAGTACGTATATAGAAATAATAAGATTACGAAAACAAAAAATACTCTTTTATAGTATGTATTCTGGAAAAACTGCATGATACAAATTTATCACATGGCATCTACTCAAAAGAAAAGAAGTTAACCACTTTCAGGTACCAGGTCAGTTTTTAATGGAAAAGAGAAAACACAACACAAGAACAAAAACACTTAAGGGGCTTCTTAATCTAGAATTTCAAATAGTACTCTAGTGGCGTTACTTTTTGTTATTTAAAATTAAATTACATATATTAACAAGAAAGCACACAAGTCAAAGGCTAGGCAGAATACATTTTTCTTACTTGAATATGCTCATTTTTAAGTAGAGCTTTCAGTTTCTTCAACTCAGGATCATTTGAATTTTGATTTTTTCCAAAATGAAAAAATAAGAGCCACCTATGATGAGCCAAACGATCCTTAAAAGTGATACAAAGAAACGTCAAAGATGGGAAATTCTTAGAATTCTGATTCTTATTTGACTTCAAGTTAATTTTAACCATCCTACCCATTATTGCATAATATTGCCTAAAATTTAGACCAATTTATACTGTTACTTTGTAGTTTACTTGGAATAATGCTATGTAAATCAAGTATATAATATTACAGGAGAGTTAAGAGCTACTAAATTATAAAATCCTAAAGTGATAATTGTACGAAGAAAAATATGGTTTTAAAAAAATATACTTAATAGTGGAGTGGGGAAGTTAGTTTTTTTTAGGTTTTAATAAAAGATTTAGTAGGGACATAGACCTAAAAAGCTCTGGGACCAATAAGTAGAAAAAAATAATTGATTTCACCACAAATTGAATATTTCTAAAGCTGCTTCTCAATTCTCAGTGAACAATATAAACATTTCTGTAATAAGAGCATAATGCTCCAAATCCAAATCCAAAGTTGCTTTCTGATTAAAATCTTGCCTTTCTGATGCTGCCTTCCTGGGAAAAGGATTTTAGGCTTAATTATCAACATCTTCAATTCCAACAAATAGAGTTCAACCTAGAATATGTTATTCTTTGAAATGGCACTCTCAGTTCTGTCTTGTGATGAATAAAACAGCCGTTGGTTTTAAAATGTTAAGACTTGAAAATGTTACCAACATTTATTACTATTTAACATTATTAATCAAAACATTACCTCTAGTGTGTCTGCTGAAAGTAGTTCAAAATCTGGAAGATGATTCATTATTTCCAAATATATTTCTTTAGCATCCAATGAATTAAGAAACTAAAATAAGAGAATCATATATATAATCTTTTTGAATAAATATCCATTTATTGTATTTAGTATTTTTAATTTTTTTTTCTATTTCCATAGTAGAACTTTTAAGAAAACAATCACAGAAGTTAGTTTCTCAAGTTATTTATTCCAAATGTTGTCCTTCTCCCCTGAAAAAGCATGTCATATTTTCATCAATTATTACAAATATTGTATAACTAAACCATTTCTTAAAAAACGTGAGATATAAATTATAAAATAAATTCCACTGTTAGGGGTTTCTTTAACTGCAATTTTCTATTAACTGTGCAGTGTGTTCCATGAAAATCCTTATTAACAACCTTGAGAAAAGCATAAAATCCTGGTGTGACCTCTGAATCATCATCATCAGGAAAAAACTGGATTATCTTCAGTGTAATTTTAATGCTAACCATGTTTTACAGAATTCCAATGCTTTACAAATTCTTTAAGAATTTTTATGACACTAGATTATTTGATGACCTGACACCTCATGGGAAGTCCCTGGGTGATGCAAACAAATAACTCGCTCCGCTGCTAACTAAACATTGGAGGCTCCAGTTCACCCAGAGACACCTCAGAAGAAAGGACTGGCAATCTACTTAGAAAAATATGCCATTGAAAATCCTACGGAGGACAGTTCTACTGTGACGCATATAGGATCACCAAGAGTTGGTGCTGACTCTATGGCAACTGGTTTTAAGACACCTCTTACCTCAACGAATAATTAATACTTTGATAAGAACTTGTGAGGTGCCGTCGAGTTGTTTCTGACTCATAGCAACCCTGGGTACAACAGAACTAAATACTGCCCGGTCCTGTGTCATCCTCACAAACGTTGCTATGCTTCAGCTCATCCTTGCAACCACTGTGTCAATCCATCTTTTTAAGGATCTTCTTCACTGACCCTCTACTAAGCATGTGTCCTTCTCCAGGGACTGATCCCCCCTGATAACATATCCAAAGACCACGAGATAAAATCTCTCCATCCTCACTTCAAAGGACCATTCTGGCTGTACTTCTTCCAGGGCAGATTTGTTCGTTCTTCTGGCAGTCCATGGTATATTCAACGTTTTTTACCAACACTATAATTCACAGGTATCAATTCGTCTACTGTCTTCCTTACTCACTGTCCAGCTTTTGCATGCATATAAGGCGACTGAAAACACCATGGCTTGGGTCAGATGCACTTTACTCTTCAAAGTGACATTTTTGCTTTTTAACACTGTAAAGAGGTCTTTTGCAGTAGATTTGCCCAGTGCAATATGTTGTTTGATTTCTTGACTGCTGCTTCCAGGGGCACTGACTATGGATTCAAGTAAAATGAGTTTTAGTTTATTTTATTTAACTTTATTTTATATTTGTTTAGCGTGTCCTAGCTTCTGGTTTTGTTTTGATATTCCTAAATAGGCTGCTCGTGTGGGCTAGTTTGATTATTGGTGCCTTTGAAGCTCTAACATCCTGTCACCAGGTAGTTAGGTCTGTTACTAAGTATGTGTGCCCAGGAGTCCCTTAAATTTTCCTGTACGGATTCAGCTCTGGTGTCCAGGCAGTCAGTGTGTGGTGCAGGCTCTCACCTACAGTCTTAGAGAGACATTGGTGATTGGTGAAGGCACAGGTATCTGGCTGCAGTAGGGGGTCATGTGCTGAGCAAGGTAGGGAGCTGACGGCTGCCCCTGAGTGTCTGAAAGGAAATTGTGTCCCTGCTCCCTAGAGCGACCAGGTAGGTGAATTTTACAGCCAGACTATGAGCACCCTACTCTGTAGGCTGTAAGGAGTGGGGGGCACCACTTATTCTTGGACCCCTGCAGGAGGTGGCTAGGTGGCGTGGGTGGAGCCACCAGTCCTCCAGCCCCTGATGTGGACAGGTAAGGCACCTGCTTAAAGGGCAGAGCAGTCTCAAATGTCACAAACCTGCCACTTCACAGCTTAAACAGTTGAAGTTATACTTCAGGTATTTACCCTGTTGTACTGTGGTAGTGAGGGCTTACGCTGTTGAGATGGGCCCACACAAGTCTATGCTGGGGTGGAAGGCACTCAAAGTATGCAGACCCCTTATGCTTGTGCCTAGGCAAAGGAGCTGTGCCAACCCTGAGGTCCTGGCTTAGGGGAGCCGGTAGCTTATTTTTTCCCTGTTAGTTTGTTCCCTCTCCAAGGCCGGGAGAACGGTTCAGGGTACCTTATGGAATCTACTTCCAGCCCAGGGGACTCACAGATCACTGAAGCCGGCCAGGACTCTGCGCAGAGCGGGGAGGGAGGAGGTAAATGGGAGAGAGACTTTTCCTAAATGGTTTTTTTTTTTTTAAATCCCCGCAGTAAACCACATGCAAGTACTTATCTTTAGCCGCTTGAGTGCTGCTTTTCACTGGTTCGGAGTGTCCAAGTAGACTCTCTGCTGCCAGATCTTTCTTGATGTGGAATGTGCCTCCTCAGCGAGCGAGCACACTGAGCTGCGCACCCTGAGCTGATCCGGATTGAAGGGCTGCGGCTCCCGCCGGGTCAGGTCAGGTGACTCCTTGCTGCTTCCAAACCATCTCTCCCTCCATCACTCAGTCCGATTCTTCAACTTTACCTTGTTCAGGGCTCCTAGATATTCATATGCAATCAATTCACTTGTTTTTTCAGGTCTCTGTTGTAAGAGGGACATAGAAAGCCATCTAACTACTCCACCATCTTGGCCCTGCCTCCGAATCCAAGTAAAATGAAATCCTTGACAACTTCAATCTTTGCTTATCATGATGCTGCTTATTGGCCCAGTTATGAGGATCTTTGTTTTCTTTATGCTGAGGTGTAATCCATACTGAAGGCTGTGATCTTTGATCTCCATCAGTAAGTGCTTCAAGTCCTCTTCACTTTCAGCAAGCAAGGCTGTGTCATCTGCGTATCACAGGTTGTTAATGAGTCTTCCTCCAATCCTGATGCCTCGTTCTTTATATAGGACAGCTTCTTGAATTATATGCTCAGCATACAGATTGAACAAGTATGGTGAAAGGATACAACCCTAATGCGTGCTTTTCCTGATTTTAAACCACGCAGTATCCCCTTGCTCTGTTGAAATGACTGCCTCTTGGTCTATGTAGAGGTTCTGCACAAACACCATTAAGTGTTCTGGAATTTCCTTTCTTTGTAATGTTATCCGTAATTTATTATGATCCACACAGTTGAATGCCTTTGCATAGTCAATAAAACACAGGTAAGCATCTTTCTGGTACTCTCTGCTTTCAGCCGAGATCCATCTGACATCAGCAATGATACCCCTTGTTCCATGTCCTCTTCTGAATCCGGCTGGAATTTCTGGCAGTTCTCTGTCAATGTACTTCTGCAACTGTTTCTGAATTATCTTCAGCACAATTTTACTTGCGTGTGATATTAATGATATTGTTTGGTCTGGTAATTTCTGCATTCTTTTGGGTCACCTTTTTTTGCAATGGGCACAGATATGGATCTCTTCCAGTAAGCTAGCCAGGTAGATGACTTCCAAATTTGTTGGCACAGATGGGTGAAATGTTTCCAGCCTCACAACCGTTTGCTGAAACATCCCAACTGGCATTTCATCAATTCCTGGAGGCCTGTTTTTCGCCAATGCCTTCAAGTGCAGCTTGGACTTCTTCCTTCAGTACCTTTGGTTCTTGATCATATGCTACCTCCTGAAATCGTTAAATGTCAATCAGTTCTTTTTGGTACAGTGACTCTGTGTATTCCTTTCATCTTCTTTTGATGCTTCCGGCGTCCTTCAGTATTTTGCCCATAGAATCCTTAAATACTGATAAGGACTTAGAACTGGAAAATTGGAATGGATCTTAGTGCTATTATGTTTTCAGAAAATCAAACCACATACAAGTTTTGTAGAGTAAATACACCAACAAAGATCTTAACTTAAATATGTTTTAGATCTAGGTGTCTTACTTAAAACATAAACAACTGAAAGAGACACATCTTCCTCCTAACAGATTTCCTGTATTTCTGCCCTAATTTTTTCTTGGCCTTTTTTTTCCTCACAGAACTCTACTGCTGGCCTAGTTCTCAATGAAGTTGCTGTTGCTAGACTGCAGCAATGCTGACATCAAGGAAATATATACAGGGGTTGACAAAACGAAGTTTAATAATTCTGATTTTACAACATCTCCTCTTACTCCCCTTCCAACTTAGATTCCTATCCTCATCAGCAGGAATTCTTAAATACGTATTTAATTATAAACCATCTAAGTTCACAGCTTAATTATACTCAATATGAGAATAAGTAGGAAAAAACTGGTATAACTTAAGAATAGAAATTAGTTTTTTTTTTCCCTTAAGTTTAAAAAAATCTATAGCATAAATATTCTTAAAGATTTGTATGAAGTAATTTCCATCAAAGCATTTAAAATGTCAAAACAGAAATCTTCCCTACCTAATGCCTATAACTCATTCACTTTACCCATTCTCATTATGAAGATTTAAAAAAAAAATTCTATAGCAGCTTAAATAAATATGTAAATTACTAATCCACTAGAACTTCATTATAACCCTGTTGTCTTAAAGAAAAATTTGGTGGAGTTACATCTACAACGGATATTTTCTAGCCTTTGAATTTCACCCTCCCAGACATAGTCTTTTATATTTTTTTTAAACCTGGCTGCTTTTAAGGAGGGTAACGGACTCTTTAAATCATCACTTCCAGTTATTATATGTCCAGTGTTAATCATTTATATTTTCTAAGATGGCATCTGAGCTTGCAATTTTATGTCACAAAGCCCAAAAATCTCACTGAGAAATGAGACTGCAGTACTGAAGTGAAGAGCCTATGTTAAGTGTTGGGTAGCATCATGGACTGAATTGTGTCCCCCAAAAATATCTGTCAACTTGGCTGGGTCATGATTCCCAGTATTGTATGACTGTGTACCATTTTGTAAATCTGATATGATTTCCTTATGTGTTGTAAAGTCTATCACTATGATGAGATTATATGTGATTTCCTTATGTGTTGTAAACTCTATCACTATGATGAGGTTATATGTGATTTCCTTATATGTTGTAAGCTCTGTCACTATGATGAGGTTATACTGATGAGGTCTACAAGATTGGATAGTGTCTTAAGCCAATCTCTTAAGATATAAAAGAGAGAAGCAAGCAGAGACACATGGGAATCTCAACCATCAAGAAAGCAGTGCCGGGAGCAGAGCACATCCTTTGGACCTGAGGTTCCTGCCCAGAGAAGCTCCCAGACCAAGGGAAGACTGATACATCACAAGGACCTTCCTCCAGAGCCAACAGAGACAGAGAAAGCCTTTCCCCGGAGCTGATGGCCTGAATTTGGACTTGTAGCCTACTAGACTGTGAGAGAATAAATTTCTCTTTGCTAAAAGCCATCCATTTGTGGTATTTCTGTCACAACAGCACTAAATGACTAAGACAGGCAGGGTGTAGGCAATTCGCATGAACTGACAGCAAGAGTGCAAACAAGCACAACTTTTCTGAAAGGCAAACTGGCAATCTGAACTGAATTTAAAACTGCTGCAGCTGCTCCATTCTAAGTACATAACTGAAGAAGTGCAGAAAGGTGATCATATAAGTGCCCAACACAACCTTGCTTATAATCATGAAAAAAGAGAGGATTGTTTAAACTAAGCATGTCACATTCAGTCAATGAATTACTATTTATGGATTGTTCATTACTAAAAAGATAATATATATATACTCATTTACATAAAAAACATATATACTCATTTATATAAATAAATGTATATATACATTATGCATATACCTATGTATATACAATGTATACACACATTAGCACATGTAGTCATTGACATGGAAAGATTTTTCTGATACACTGAGTAAGAAAGCTGGATCAAGGCTGTGACCTTTTGGAAGCAGATCACCAGTCTGTCTTCCAAGGCACCTCTGGATAGGTTCGAACCAACCTTTCAGCTAGCAGTTGAGTGCTTAACCCTTTGCGCCACCCAGGGATACAAAGTGGTAAGTGCTCTGGAAATAAAATAGAGCAGGGCAAAGAGGGAACGATGATACCAACCTGGAAGTGGAACGGGAGGTGGAAGTTTGCAATTATGAAGGTATTTATAGAGAGAACTTTCAGCAAAGACTTAAAGAAGGGGTGGCAGGTGACCCAGTGGATTTCTTGGGGGAAAGCATTCTGGGCAAAGAGAAATGTCACTGCAAACGCCCAAGGGTAGGAGAGTGCCTGGCATGTTTGCAGAACAGCAGTGATGCCAGTGTGGCTGGAGCAGTGGATGTGAGGGCAGTAGCTGACAAGAGAGAGGTACAGGGAAGAGGGGGAGAGGAAGCACAGGCCATTGGCAAGACTGTGGCACTTTCTCTGAGAGAAATGTAGAGCCATTGGAGAGTTTTAGACAATGGAGTGGTATGATCTGGCTTTGTTCAATATGGCTGTTATGCTAAGAATAGATTGCCAGACTGCAGCGGGGAAAAGCTTTAAACGGAAAGACCATGAAAAGATGTTGTAGTAAATTCAGGTGAGGGATGATGGTAGTTCATACAGGATGGGGGCAGTGAAAGCTGATTATGGAAACATTTTAAAGATACAGCCACAAAGTTTAAGACACAGGCTTTGTTGATGCACAAAGGGTATGAGAAAAAGAGAAGTCAAGAATACACCAACATTTTTGGCCTGAATAATAAAAAATGGAGTTGCCATCAACTGAGATGAGGAAAACTGTAGGTGGGGATTTATGGGGATGATCAACTTATAGATATTTAAGTTTGAGATGTTGACTAATATCACAGGGGAGATGTTGAATAGTCAGTAGAATATATGTCTGGAGTGGAGGACAGATATCTGAGCCACAGATATAAACTAGACAGTTGTTAGTATAAAGCCATAATCGCATACATATTTAAGAGCTGGAAAAGTATTTACTAAGATATGATGGTGGTTGTCTATGGGTGGTTTGATTTTAGGGAGTTTTGCCTTTTTATACATTTCTAAACCATGTATGAATTTCCATAATGATTATGTGCCATCTTAATCTCAACAGAGGCAAAATTAGAACCCAGAAAAGAAACTAAAGGAAGTTTGTCTTTTGTCAGAGTTCTTTACTTTCTTTTGTAATTCCCTATGGATCTCTTTTATATCCCATTATTTATTTTAGCTCCTTGACAACAAGCTAGAACCTCAGTTTCCTCATTCATAAAATCACAGAGGTAAGCCACATCAGATTTCCAAATTTGAGTTTATATCAGAATCTCACAGGGTGTTTTTAAAACGAATAGATATTTGGGGCTAGGCCAAACCTACCAATAATCTATATTTTAACATTAGAAAATATACAAATAAATGAAAACGCACGGTATAAATGTTGTTTCATTTAACATAACAGTGTACTCCATACCGTCAAGAGTTTAAAAGTGTAATGGTGTATATGAGTTTAAAAATAATCCTTATAACAGACATTACAAACTAAATATGCCTTAAACAGAATCCCAGAAATAAAATATTTGTTCTAAATAAGTAAATGTTTAACAATCAGATAATAGAAACTGATGCATTTCCTTCATTACTGTTTACAAAACGATGTATTACATTTGACTGTGTGTATTTATATGTAAAGAAATTATTTTAAAGTGATTCATACCAAAACACCACTTTGCTCTTTGTTATTTAAAGTGGCTCCAGGAGGAAAATATGCCGTAGTACTTGTTGTAATATCCAAACTTTTACAAAGGTTGTCCTGGGTGGCACAGTCTATCCATCCTACATTAACAAGACCATCCTAAAATGGAAAGAAAAAATATGTATAGGCCATGGTGTAAATGAAGAAAAAAGTTATACAAATTTGGCTTTACTTAGCTAAAATTACAACTTTTCCTTTATAAATTTAAACTTTTTTTAAGAGCACTCAACTTCTTGAGATAATGAACTTTAGTTTTCCCAAACTAAAAAAAAACCAAACAAACACCAAACCCATTGCCGTCAAGTCAATTCTGACTCACAGTGACCCTACGGGACACAGTAGAACTGCCCCATAGTTTCCAAGGTGCAGCCTGTGGATTCGAACTGCTGACCTTTTGGTTAGCAGCTGAATTCTTAACCACTGCGCCACCAAGGCTCTCTTAGTTTTCCCAGATATTAACAATCTACTTTCAGACAACTGTTTTTACAATTTGGTACAGAAAGTGGACTATTCAAGAATCTCTTTCAGGTGTTAAGAAAAATCAAACTATTACGTAAAGCTTTTAACTGTCCTTTGAAAAATTATCATATAGTTTATCAGGCTCTGTGTGTGTCTGCATGTACATTTAAATGAACACCTTTCCAGTTTTCACCTACTGGGGCTAAGCTCCTTTAATCAGCAACAAAATCCTACATGTAAAGTACACTTCTCAAGACTTCCGAGTTCTGGAAAAAATTTTTGGACCAGGTAAGTTGGTAAACAAATAGAGGTCTGACATACATTTATTTGAGATCCCAGGGGAAGAGAGAGAGAGAAAGGGATAGACACAATAGCTGACAAGGTAACAGCTGAGAATTTTCCACAACTGATGAAATATACTAATCTATAGATTCAAGAAGTTCAATAAATCTCAAGCAGAATAAATAAGAAAAACGCTAATACATAACTCTCAGGTCAAGGATGAAACCATAATTAAATCACAAAATACTTGTGAGTGAATGACAATAAAAGTACCATATGTCAAAATTTATGGAATACAGCTGATTAGTTAGAAGGACATTTACAGCTATGAATATATTTATCAGAAAACAAGAAAGATTACAAACAAATGACTTAAATGTTCCGAAGAAAATATTTGAAATCAATTTCTAAATGTGTTTCTTAACATGGTGACAAAGTTTTACAAAATGACTGATGCTTACCAACATGCCACTAAGCCTGAGTCGTGTCTGAGTAGTCAAACAATCTGGGGGGAGGAAAAAAACTCATGAGGCAATTTTAAGTTATTAAGACTGTAGCTTCATTTACCTTTCCACCAAACCACCATGCTGATTCTAAGGCAATTAACTGGGCTTTACTGATAAATATTGAGAAATTTATTTACCAGGTAGATACTGAGGTCAATGTCTCATTCTACATACACACACAAACACACACCGTCACTCTTTTATTCTCTCTCCTTAAACCCACTGCCTTCGAGTCGAATCTGACTCATAGTGACTCTATAGGACAGAGTTGAACTGGCCCATAGGGTTTCCAAGGAGCAGCTGGTGGATTCAAACTGTCGACCTTTAGGTTAGTAGCCTGAGCTCTTAACCACTGCACCACCAGTGCTCCTCTCTCTCCTTAGTTTCACAGAATTTCTAGCAGCAGGGAAAAGGAATAATTTTCTCTCAAGCATCTCTTTAGGAGATCTCTTTAGGATCTTTTAATTCTCTCCTATCAAGAATTCCCTTTATCCAAGAGATCTCATGATTCTGGGGAAATAAAATGTATGGACCTATTTGATAAAGATATGTAAAAGATCCTCAAAATAAAATAAAATCTTAAAATAGCTTCTTCATTAATTATATGAAAATTCTATACATCTTTAATGCTAGGATACATTGAGGTAGATTTAGAGAAAAGGGAGCTGATAGCATTGCAGGGCCTACAGAGATAGATAAGAGCAATTTCTCTGCAGTGAAAAGTAAAAGAATGTGTTTAAAGTTTTGTTTATGTGCAGATGGACAGAACTGCAGGCGTTAGGCCAAAATGAGACAACCTCTCAGTGACAGGCTAAGTTAAGGTGGATTTTTGCTGCAAGGCAACATCTTCCTAACACAGACCTTACTGGATAGGGTGAGTGAGTGATTTTAGTTGTAAGGCAATGCCGTCTCATGGCACCATAAAGGTAAAGAAGTGAAGTGTGGGGAAAAGACTTATGTTGGGATTAAACATATGAGAATGTATTAATGAATTAAGATCTTTTGTGATAGTGGGACCTATTTTCAACCAATCTCATTATTTGAATAGAATTTATAGCTTGTGATTTGGTATGCAGGGTACCGAATTTTCAACTTAATTCACTAAGGTTCATAGAAATGGGAAGGTGTCTTCTTCAAACACATAACTTTATGAGGCAAATGTATTAATTTCTCATATGCAAAAGTATGAGGCAAAGTACATAATTCTGAAATTATTATTTCTGGAGGGGTTATATATGTCAACAATTATTTTTGCAATCTGCCAAACACATGGATGGATGGCTATCTGAAAGTACAATTTATCACACAGTTAAGCTGATAAACTTGTCCACTGATACATTAAAAAATTAATAATTTTATAACCACTTACATGTAAAATAATGGAAAAGGTAAATAGTCATTAAATAAAAAACTATAATCTTGGGTATAAATTATATTTTAAAGTAGTGAGGAATCAATATAGTAGCATTTAAAAACAATCTCCTAAAATTTAAATGTCATGGTCTCTTCATCACAACAAAATAACAAATAAAATTACCTCCTCCTTTGGAACAAAAAGTGATCAGCCAGCCAATACCAGCAGCAAAAGCAGTTTGTATGGAGTTAACAAAATTTCCTTAAAAGAAAATGAAGCAAATTTCTTATCATCTATTACTTGATAATGGAAACATTATTCAAAAGATTTTTGCCTTCTAATCTCCACCCTCTTTCCATCCACTCGGAGTATTACTGTTTAACTTTCTAAAAATCCTCGAGCACGTCAAATTCCTTCTCACTGGCTCCCTTTTCTTATATAAAATTTATCTTTATTATTTCATTAAGAAAAAAATTCAAACTGGCTAACAAGGCCCCGTATGATCTGGGCTTTGTTTACCTGTTCAGCTAGTCGTTATTTCTCCCCATACCACGCTATCTCATTAGTCATCTTTAAACTCATGGAGATGTATTGCCAGTTCCCCAAACACACAGTGATCACTTAAGACTATTTATTTTCAAGACAGATTGGATATGACCTATTTTAAAAGAAGTATTTTCTAACCCTTCCTTTCCTCAACTGGATTGTTTTGTGTCCTTTATGCTTCCCTAACTACCTAAGCTCACCTCTATCATAATAGTTACTACACTACATTTTAAATGTTTACAAATGCCTCCTTCACTAAAATATGAAATCGATAAAGGCAGGGATTATATATTTTAACACTGCAGCTCCAGTATTTTAATACAGTTTCTGGGATATAACTGGTATTCAGTGAATGAAATGAACATCCTTTTAGTTGTGAAGACTGTCGAGGTCATTTCATGGTTAGTTCAGAGCAGTTACATTACCTAATTAAAGTCACTTGATGAATTACAAGCCTAAGATTACAAGAGTTTTTAAACTTTAAAATTAAACTAGATAGGCATTAATTTACTGCCTGATATACTGATGGAAGCAATGAAACCCTTGTATTATTAAACATTTAGATGTACTTTGAAAGTTGACTTTTCCACCTAAGCCGATCTCATATCATTTTCCACATCTTAATTGTTTCAGTTTCTGTATAGACATAATTCATTTGTGAAATGTCCACCATTTAGCACAGGTCAGAGCCAATGACACAATTCCCCTTTAAGAAGTTTGGAAAAGATATTTTAAAATGTCACTACTATGATCAAGGAAACACCGGTGCTGCAGTGGTTAAGAGCTACGGCTGCTAACCAAACGGTCGGCAGTTCGAATCCATGAGGTGCTCCTTGGAAACCCTATAGGACAGCTCTACTCTGTCCTATAGGGTTGCTATGCGTCGGAATCGACTTGATGGCAATGAGTTTTTTGGGTTTTATTATGATCAAAATCTTAATATTGGTACTGGAAAACTTAAAATATTGATTTCAAAGTATTCCTGAAAATCCAGCATATCAAGAAAATAAAATTACCTGTCCATAATTCTGTCACCGTGCTTCTAACATGCTGCATGGCAAAACTCACTAAGTCTTCCTTTGATCTGTCACCATGATACTTCACTGCAGCCTGTTTTTTTAATACAAAGAGAAACATCTTTTACTTTTTCTTTTTAAAGCTCACTAACAATAATACCAAATACTTTTGCTTCTGCATTATTTTGAATAATACAGTAAGATCTGTCAATAGTATAGTATACATCCAAATGATACTCTAAGAATATGACTGTACAGATTTCATGGGCAACATTGTAACAACACTATGTACAGTAGTTTTCATTTAGTTTCATCACTGAAAAAAAAAAAAGACATCAGAGCTTTATATTCATTGAGACAACACCCGTAAAATACTTCGTAAGTCCTTAAGTATTCACATTGGTAAATTATGCTTTTTAAGATGGAAATTGAAGCTGGCAAATATTTAATTCTGAAACAAGGCAAAGTCAAAGTAATAGCATCTAAAAGCATTCATAACATACCTCAAAATGTTTAACTAGAGCCTTGATGACAGCACCTAAAATAAGACTTAAAAATAAAAACATTCTACAAGTTCACACATTGTTTTTTCTAGTATTTCACTTGTTATAAAGTTTCACAAATTAAAAAAATGCTAATATTATCCCTTACCATTCCAGACCTAAAAATGAAGAGGCTGGGATAACTGTTGACTCCTTTCATTCGGCAAAGCATTCTATCATCACCACAGTTAACAGCTCCAATTCGAAGTAATCCATCCACTTCTTTAGCAAAGTCTCTCCACTGTGAGGAAAAAGCAACATATATGTTCCCCTGATAACTTTCTTTCCCTTAAACTCTTCAAACTATACATTTTTTTAAAAATTTAATATTGTGTTTTTTGGTAAAGTTTACACAGGAAATTAGGTTCTCATTTAATAATTTCTATACATATTGTTTCGTGACATTGATTCTTTGTCAGTATTCTTGTTATTTCAATTTTGGTTGTTCTGTTTCCATTAATCTAGCTTCCCTGTCTACCCTAGCTTCTCATCTATTTTGAGGAGCACGGTACTCATGGGTGATATTATTTTACGGGCCAACCTGTCATTTGGCTGAAAGCGGACCTCTGGGAGTTTAAAAAGTACCTCAGAGTGACAGTCCTGGGGTTCATCTAGTCTCTACCAGTCAAGTAAGTCTGGCCTTTTTTAGGAATCTGACTTTTGTTCTACATTTTTCTCCCATTCTATCAAGACCATCTATTAGGTTCCTGGTTGGAACAGTTGGTAGTGGTAGGCGGGCACTGTCTAGTTCTTCTAGTCTCAAGGTAGGCAATGTAGTTGTTTGTGTAGACTACTAGTTCTACAGACTAGTTTCTTCTTTGAGTCTTTGGTTTCCTTCTTTCTCTTTCAAACTAGACATTCTTTTTTTTTTTAAATTTTTTTCTTGTACTTTACATGAAGGTTTACAGAATAGTTTCTCATTAAACAGTCAGTACACATATTGTTTTATGACATCGGTTAACAACCGCATGACATGTCAACACTCTCCCTTCTCGACCTTGAGGACCTTTTTTTTGGTGAAAACATACATAGCCAAAATTACACCATTTTGAAAATTTCTACATGTACAATTCAGTGACATCAACCACATTCTTCCAGTTGTGCTGCTATTCTCACTATCCTTTTCCGAAATATTCCATCACCATTATCTTCAACTCCAACTGTCCCCTAGGTTTCCCATCAAACCTTTTGAGTTGCTGTTGTGAATTCGATCTCATATAGATAATTCTTTTGTCCCTTAGATGAAGGTTTGAAGAACAAACAGTTTCTCATTAAACAGTTAGTACACATATTGCCCTATGACAATGGTTAACAACCCCATGACATGTCAACACTGTCCCTTCTCAACCTTGGGTTCCCTATCACCAGCTTTCCTGTCCCCTCCTGCCTTCTAGTCCTTGTCCCTGGACTGCTGTGCCTCATAAGTCCCGTTTTGTTTTACAGGGCTGTCCAATCCCTGCTGAACGATGAACTTCGGGAGGGGCTTCACTACTGAGCTAAAAGGGTGTCTGGCGGCCGTACTCTCAGTGTTTCTCCGGTCTGTCAGGCCACCAAATCTGGTCGTTTTTTGTGAGTTAGAATTCTGTTCTACATCCTTTTCCAGCTCTGTCCAGGACCCTCTATTGTGATCCTGGTCAGAGCAGTCAGTGGTGGTAGCTGGGCACCATCTAGCTGTACTGGACTCAGTTTGGTGGAGGCCGTGGTAGCTGTGGTCCATTAGTCCTTTGGACTGATCTTTTCCTTGTATCCTGTTCTCTTCATTCTCCCTTCCTCCCAAAGGGGTGAGACCAGTGAAGTATCTTAGATGGCTGCTCACAAGTTTTTAAGACCCCAGACGTTACTTACCAAGGGAGAATGCAGAACATTATCTTTATAAACTGTGTTATGCCAACTGAGCTAGATGTTCCCCGAGACCATGGTCCCCACAGCCCTGTGCCCGGCAATTCAGTCCCTCAGGGAGTTTGGAAGTGTCTATGGAGCTTCCATGACCTTTCCTTGTACAAGATGTGCCAGCTTCCCCAGTAATGTGTACTGTCTTACCCTTCACCAAAGTAATCACTTATCTATTTTGCCCCCCCCCCAACTCCTCCCATCCCTGGTAACCAACAAAGATTGTTTCTTTTTGTATGTAAACTTTTACATGAGTTATACAGTAGAGGTCTCATACAATATTTATCCTTTTGTGATTGACTTACTTCACTCAGCATAATGTCCTCCAGTTTTGTTCCTCTTACTCTCCTGTTCTGAGTTCCTTTTGTTTGAGGATTTCTTTTCATTTGGTTTTGTAGGTTTTGTTTTTACTGAGACTTTTACGTTTTTCTTCTTTATTTTGATGAGTAGGTTTGTTAACTTTGTGGTTACCTTGAAATTTACCCATATCTTCCTAGATATGAACCAGTCTATTATTACTTGGTATCACTTGACTTCCTCTCCATTAGAAGGTTCTATATCTACACCGTTTCTTCCCTCTTTTATTGTTCTGATGTTGTTGTCATTTACAGATTAACCTCTTTGGTTCCCTTTTGTAATTCTGGTTTTGCATAGTCCTTAAAAGTTCATTTCCTAGGTTGGTATCTGGCTAGTACAATCCTATGTCCTATATTCAGCTTGTGGTCTGATACTGTTTGTTTTCAGATCGAAGGACTTCCTTTAATAAAGCTCGTAAGTTTGGTTTGGTTTTTACATAGTCCCTTAATTTCTGTTTATCTGGAAATGACCTAATTTCACCATTGTATTTGAAGAAGAGTTTTGCAGGATATATTATTCTTGGCTGGCAATTTTTTTCTTTCAAGGTTTTATATATGTCATCCCATTGCCTTCTTGCCTGCATGGTTTCTGCCGAACAGTCTGAGCTTAGTCTTATTGTTTCTCCTCTGTATGTGACTTTTTGTTTTTCTTGAGCTGCTCTCAGAATTTTTTGTCTTTGGTTTTAGCAAGTGTGATTATGATATGCCTTGGTGATTTTCTTTTGAGGTCTATTCCTATATGGGGTTCGTTGAGCTTCCTGGATGGTCAGCTTTTCATCTTTCATGACATTGGGGAAGATTTCTGTCAGTAATTCTTCATTGATCCTCTCTGTGTCTTCTGTTTTCTCCCCGTTCTGGAACTCCGATCACTCGCAGATTTTTGCTTTTGATTGCATCCCACATAATTCTCAGGGTCTCTTCATTTTTCTTCGTTCTTTTTTCTGATTTTTCCTCAAACAGAGTTGTATCCAAATTCAAACTAGACATTCTTAATATGGAAACTTTTAATGAAATAAAAACCATACACATTTGAAAGTATTTGATAATTCTTTCTAGCAGTTATATCAATAGAAAAAAAAATCCCAGTATACTAAAAAACAAAACAAAATCAAACTTAATTTAACAGATCAACTAGAAATAATAAAACTTTAATAATAATCAAGATGGAAAAAAATACATACTGTGGGAGCTAAATCATGGCAGTGTGAACATCCTGGGGAGTAAAAATTTACAAACCACAGTTCTCCAGAATTAACAGCAGCATCTAAAATACAGAAAACCAAACCAATTTAGAATTATTTACTAAAGATATGTGCATATTTTAGCTTAAAAAAAAAATTTCTTTTTGGTGGGATCAGAATTAAAAATACTCAGTCATAAATCTTTCATCCTGCCTTTATCATTTTTTATACAAAATTTTTTCTATAGAAAGAAAATATTTCAACTGTCAAACAATGTTCTTTTTTAAAACTTTTTCAAGCCCATACTTGAACACCAAGATAAATATGGCCGTGAAGCCGTAAAGAAGTGGCACTGGTTAAGCACGTGGTCAGTCAAGTAATTCTGACAACTGCCTTAAAATCTGAGAGAATCAAGTAAGAGAGTTATGTGATAACATGTAAAGGGAGTTGTGGGGAATAAAACAGAACCTTTGCCCTTAAGACATTTACCTTGGAAAATTACGTTGTTTGAAAAGTATAAAATCAAGGTTTTTGACAATTAAAAACATTACAGAAATTTGCTGAAACAGATTTGAAGACCACATGTCTAATCAATAATAAATTATATATTATAATCTTTAAGATAACCTGATGCAAACAAATGACCTTTATTCATTTTAAAATTATAGTAAGACATCACAACAGCTAATATCTGTTGCCAAAGACAAATGTTAAGAAAAGTCACAGGTGCTTTGAGCTCCTCTTTAACTTCTTGAACTTGTCTTCAGTAGGATACCTGTATAGTGCAGGTACTATTTAGAATGACCAATACAAATGTGAGATGTTCTGTTTTGGAAATACTATCTATGACTTGTTTATAATAACTGATATATTGATATAATACTGTATTGTAACATATATAAAGATAATATGTTCACTGGAAAAGGTGCAAAACACTATCTTCTGTACTGAAGTTGAACACTCTGGGGTCCCACTACTGACAAAGGTGAATCACGTAATTTGGATGAACTCTCCCACTGCAAACAACAGGAAAACTAGACAAAATATGAAACACCTCTGTTGAAAGCATCAGAGTTATCAATGCAGTGAAGAACTAGGGGGTCAAGATACATATGTATACAGAAACAAGAAAGCCAGTGTTTGTCAATGCTAGAAGACGCAGTCGAGAGGCTGGAAGCTAAGCAGAACTTCCAAGAGATTCATGAGGCTGCTGCTGTTGTCAGTTGCCATGGAGTCAATTCCGACCATAGCGACCCCATGTGTGCAGAGTTGAACCACTCCGTAGGGTTTTCAAGGCTGTGACATTTTGGATGCAGACTGCCTGGCTTGTCTTCTAAGGTGCCTCTGGGGAGGGGGTTCAAACCTCCAACCTTTCGGCTAATAGTCAAGCACTTAACCATTTATGCTACCCAGGGACCTCATGAGGCTACAGGACCAAAAATGGGGTTCAGGGCACATCTAAGGAAGGGTCCTATAAATAAAGTTGAACTGGAAAGTGACCAGCTCTCTCAAGGTCTAAAGCTCAGCCTTTGAATAATTTCAATCCCTGTATGGATAAAGCTGATCTGAGATTGACAGTGACCCAGAGGAAAAATGTAACTCCTCTCTGGAGGAGGAGACCACACATAACCTTAAAATAGTTCTACAATTATCTGTAAGTTATACAAAAAGGCAAGACTACGTAACCAAAAACTAACAGAAACAAATGGTAATAGAAAAACCCACACCAGAGAGGCTCAAGTGATGTTTACATGAGTACAAACTAATACTACTATCCGTACTTGCCACCTTTCCCTGCCTTTTTCTATAAAACTTTAGGATACTGTTGTTTTTAATTATAGTTGTACAAAGCTTGAAAGTGTAAGAATCTATTCCAATATTTGTAATTTTCTAAAATGCAACAGAAAATACAACTATATTTTTACAGTAGAACTGTATTTTCACACCAATCACAAATTAAATCTGCTTCTAAAATAACCACATACTTATCCAAAACTCTGAAATTAAAACTTTTTTTGTAAGTTTGCAGCAAGCTCACCTGGCATCTACACCCGACCTGAAATGACATGAGTCTATGTATTGTTTTTCCTCTTTTTTCAGTATATATAAAAATGCATTTCACTGCAGAAATATTAATGTCCTTATTATGGTACACTGCTTCAGATTCTGCTAGAAGTGCTATTTAATATATAATATATACCACATTAAACATCAGTTGCTGTCAAGCTGATTCTGACCCATGGTGACCCTACGTGTGTCAGAGCAGAACTGTGCTCCACAGGCTTTCCAATGGCTGATTTTTAGGAAGTAAATAGCTTTTCTTTTGAGGCATCTCTGGGTGGACTTGAACTTCCAACTTTTCTTTTAGCAGCTGAGCACACTAACCATTTGCACCACTAAAGGACTCCACCATACCGTATTACCTTTCTAAAATCCAAAAAAATTTCTGAATATCAAATGCATTTGTTCCCAAGAGTTTTAGAAAAGAGACTGGACTTATACTCATCTTAGAAAATCATATGTCCCCAAACTTACCAAATTCTCTTCTATCCAACGTTATGATTTCAGGATCATCATCATATATACCTAATTTTCAAAGCACATAAAATTATAAAATGAAAACTTCACCATCGGTTAAAGATTCACCTAAAAACAGATAACTCACTCTTGACTCTTAATCAACCTATAATTAGATTACTATACTAAACCTCAGACTTGAAGAATCTGCAACAAATAGCAAAGAGAAAAGCCAAAGTAAACAATACCACTGGTGATACATTTGAAGAACGATCTAAACATATAATACTAGTTTCCTGATACGCACTGTCACAGGTGAAAGGTGTTGGGTGGTATCTTGGTATTCACCTCCAAAGAAAATTTCTATTATATATGTTTTAAACTTATTATTTTGAAATAATTATAGACTCACAGAAAGTTGTAAAAACAGTACAGACTTCTGTGTAGCTTTTACTCAGCTTCCTCCAATGATGACATGTTAAGTAGCTGTGGCTCAATATCAAAACCAGGAAATTGACACTGGTTCCATACTGTTAACTAGACTACGGACTTCATTCAGTTTTCAGATTATACCATTTTTTAGCAGAAGTGGTATCACTTTAAAATATTTTCTATTACTAAAAATCGTATAATTCAAATATTTGTAGAGGTAGAGACAAACTTATAAATACAAATTTTATTTATTATAATAATTAACACCACTGTGAAAAAATTTCTCATTATTATATAACCTATCCAAATAATATTAATGATGGCTATACACCAGGGGTCAGCAAACTTTTTCTGTAGAGGCCAGACAGTAAATATTTTAAGCTTTGCAGGACATATGGTCTCTGCAGCAACTATTCAACTCTGCCGTTGTAGTTCAAGAGGAGCTACAGACAATACATACACAAATAAGCGTAGTTGTGTTCCATTAAGTTTATTTACCAAAACAGGCTGGATTTGACCTGTGAGATGTAGTTTGCCAACCCCTGATATAGACTATCAAACTGTGAACATCCTGGGGAGTAAAAATTTACAAGAGATGACCTGTGAGAGGTAGTTTGCCAACCCCTGATACAGATTATCAAACTGTAGGAAATTTACCTGAAAACACTATTTTGACGAGACAGTCTTGAGAAACAAACTTCTAGATATACGTTTACAATATTTATTTTATTTAGTCAAATATAAAACTATGCTTCAATCCTTAGCTTGCTTCTGAGGCTAACTAATGATGAGGAGAAATACCGATATTGGTATGCTCGCTTCCTGCCTTGATGCTCCTGTTTACCTTCACTCTCCCTTGGTCTTTGTTTCCTCCCTCTTTTGCCTTATTTCTTTCTTATTCCTGTCACCACCTTGAACCTTTACTAATAAAGGTTCTATATGAGAATAGCATTTCTACTGAAGAGATCACTATTAGGGCTTAGAAAAAATGACTGTCTAAAAAAAAGAGGCTTCAATATTTAACTTCTAATGCAAACAGTTTCTTGAGTTGAACAGCAATCCTTATTTTAAAGTTTTTAACAAGATTATGATCAATAACACCTTCATACCTACACAGATAATACCTATATAAGGACTTACTTTCCTTCTGTATTCCACTCCCATGGTATCTTAAAGGGAGGGTCAAGGTGATTTTATTAACTACGTAAGCTAAATGCTGAAACAAAATTAACTTTTCTAAACTCGTTCAGATTAAAAAATAAACAAATTTCCTAAGTACTAATCATATCTTACCAAAATCATAACGGTAATAGTTCCAGCTTTCATACTGGCCTCCTCCTTGATTATCTGCAAGTCCTTTTTCTCCATACTTGTCATACTTTTTCCGCAGATCTTCATCTTTGAGTACTTCATATGCTCTGTTTATTTTTAAAAAATCACCGTGTGCACTTGGATTATTCTATTAAAAAAAAATCAGATATGACAGTTGTTTCAGATACACAATCCAAGTCTCTTCAGAACCTAAATGTAGATTTAATTAAATCCTGAGATTTAATTAAAGATACCAGGTAAGGCCCTTAGGTATGACAAATGGTTTCTGCTCCACTGCTAACCTAAAGGATAGTGGTTCAAACTCATGCACTTGTGCCAAGGAAGAAAGGCCTGGTGATCTGCTTCCATAAAGATCACACCCAAGAAAATCCTATACAGCAGTTCTACTTCATAACACATGTGGTTGCCATAAGTCAGAACCAACTCGATGGCAACAGGTAGATACCAGATAGGAGGGGAAGTACAATATAAAATGAGTTATCATGGGTTGAAATAAAAAGAACTACTTCAAAGAAACTACAGTTTTCAAAAAAGAATAATAACAGGAAAATGAGAACTGATTCTTCAAAAGGTCAATAAATGTGATCATACAATGTAAGACATTCCTTCTAAGAAATGTATCAGAAAAAACTGATTAATGAACATTTTCAAATTCTTAGTTTTGTAAATATTATTTTACTCCTAAAACATTTTCAAAGAAATAGATTTGTAGATTCTTTTTTCTATTTGAGACAAAATCAACAGATTAACTAAACGAAGGTATGTGCCCCAATCCATCAGATAATTAAATAAGAACTAATTATCACACGAACAATTCAAAACTGGTTGGAAAATGTTCATTTGTTAAGAGAAATGAGTGAATCCACTCAACAGCAGTGGGTTTGGTCTCTTTGCTTTTTTATAGCATCGGTTTCTTGAAGGATTTTTTCACTTAAATAAGACTTGGATAACAAAAGGGGCTTTGGTGGCCCAGTGGGTGGTTAAGCGCTTGGCTGCTAAGTGAAAAGGTCAGTGGTTTGTACCCACCAGGCACTCTGTGGGAGAAAGATATGGCAGTCTGCTTCCGTAAAGATTTACAGCCTTGGAAACCCTATGAGGCCGTTTTACTCAGTCTTATAGGGTAGTTGGAAACCCTGGTAGCGTAGTGGTTAAGTGCTACAGCTGCTAACCAAAAAGTTGGCAGTTCAAATCCACCAGGTGCTCCTTGGAAACTCTACGGGGCAGTCCCACCCTGCCCTATAGGGTCACTATGAGTCGGAATCAACTCGACAGCAACGGGTTTTTTAATAGGGTGGTTATGAGTCAGAATTGACTCAACGGCAATGGGCCTGGGCTTGGATAAGGAAGGTCTTAGGTCTTTCATGTGGAAACTTAAAAGGAAACATATTTTGAAATTTAAAAAAAAAGATCGAAAAAATCAAAACCCTAAATATAACAGTGTAGATCTTAGGAAAAGATTACCAACTAGCAAGGCTTTTAAAGAAACATTGTTTCTGTTGCTTAGCTTTATGGAACCAAATAAAATAATCCTATTTATACAATTCTAACTAAAAAATAAAAAACCGTAACACAACCATGTCTTTCTCCTTGCTAATGATGAGTATCAAACCTTGTTAAGAAAAAATTAATAAAATAAATTATAAAAATACCATAAAAATGAAAACTAATTCACTTTGGAAAGATTATAGTATTAATACATATTTATAATTTACTCTATTTTGACTACACTGAAGTTTTAATTTATACTACTTTTTAACTCTGATCTATGGACTTGTGCATGGGAGAAAATACTAAAAATTCAAGCGTGCTAGTATTAGCCATTACTGCCATTTTAGCAACACATGTCCTCTAAGTCCTAAAAAAAAATAATTTTTCTCTTACTGTTCTAGGATACTTGATCTTAATCTACTTTTTACTAAGTAAACTATGCCAATTAGTTCACAGACATTATTGTTTCTGTTTTAGGATTAATATCCTTAATAGAAATTTTGGCAATGAGGTCACAAATTAAGACAGAATTGCATTTTAGGTATTGACATTCCTTCTCACTGTTCTAAACTAGAACATTTTGCTCTATTTCTAGCATAGTAGTTGAATTATGATTTTTGACTTGCAACTTTCTTAAGCATTTTGAATCACTAATTTAAAATAATTTAAATACACATCAAAACTTGCTAAAATACATTACTCAGATATGTTTTAAAAAGAAATTGTTACCTACCGGGTTTTTATCAGGATGTAACTTCAACGCCAACTTCTTGAAAGCTTGTCTTATTTCTCTACTGCTTGCAGTTTTGGATACTCCTAGTAAACTATAAAAATCCTGATCCGTTTCCACTAAAATGGCCATATACACCATTAAAACACAGACAATGATTTTTTTCAAGTCTCTGACACAGTCGCCTTTATATAACCAGACACCCATTCTTGTTCTTACACAAGTTCTGACTTTAGTGAATATTAAGACACACTACTGGTTCCAGTTGATACAGTATACAAGGCTGAGAACTTCTGTTCACACTACTCCATGGGTGAATCAAACATTACAAAACTGTCTCCAAAAACGTTAATCTAAAGAGAGGAAACCAGGCAATTAAAATACATTTCAAACAAAATAGCAATAACAAAATTTGTTAATCAAATAACAGTCAATAATACACTCTCCATAAAATGGCAAATCAGGGTGAGTGTCCCAGGCTCTATGCTTCACTGCTTCCAAGCAGCTAGATTTGTGAAAGCACCGAAGATAGCAGAAAAAAGGCAGTGACTGTTGTAGCTAGGTAGAACATTTAAAAATAAAAACAAAACTTATACAATCAGAAAAAGCCCCTGATCAACACCGGAACACAAGGATAGGAAAAAACTATGTTTCTTTCCTTTTTCTACTCAGCTTCAGGGTAGTCTTTTTTGGTAATATCTTCTCCTTTTTGACTACTTCTTTATCCCTTTAAGGCTGTCCAGTTTTCATTTTAATTAGTTTTACTTGTAGGAAATGTCCTTTCGGGGCACTACAAGGCAGCGCAGGGTGTAAGATTTTCCAAAGAGCTGTACTTTTCATGTAACCCTTCCAAAAATGGCACTGAATTATAATAATAGGTAACTTACATGGAATGCCATTTTCTTTTTCTAATTTTTCTCAGAAAGTGTAAGAGAGAGCATTTTACAAAAATGGTAGAATAATAACTGAATGTTAACAGTGCAATTTTTTTGCAAAGTTTGTTAGGTATCAACAAAAATAGAAAAACAGAAAAAGGAAAAGGGAATTATAGACACGCTCACCTCTGTAGGGTAAAAAGAATCTCCATCATGTCACATTTTAACTTGTATACTTTGGTTCTAAAGATCTTAGTGCTTTGAAAAATCTAACTTTCCTAGGATTTCTGTTTCTCCTTTCCTCTAGCGTACAACTTCAGTCCTAAAATTTTTCTCCTTATCTGGGAAAGGTCTTCAGATCATTCTAATCCCTTCTTTTGAGCCCCAAAATACGTATCTTGTAAGATATGATAGAAATTAATATCGAGACTCAAAAAGAAGAAAAAAAAAATGAATATATTCTCAATCACCACTTTGGAATAAATGGTCCTCCTAGCTTAGAGACTGCTCTCAGTCAGGGTGGGTGTGGCTGGTCAGCCCGGCGCAGAACTTAGCCGACAATTGGAAACTGCAGGTAAATGCAATGTGGAGCCCTCAAGCTGCCACCACTCCTGGATGGGATGCGGAGAGAGGGAAAGATGGAGATGGGAATGAAACTTTCAAATGCTGCTGGCGTCTGCAGTCTCAGGTCGGATTATGAAAGTGAGGTTAAAGTGAGAAATTGGAGCAAAAAGCGGGGAACTGAAGGGCAGAGGAAGGTGGTGTAGACAATTTGGATAACGAAGATGAGGAGCGAGAACAAAATAAAGTGGCTGCGGGAGGTGAGTAGAGCTAGAGGTTCAGACGCACACATCTATTTCACCCCTCCCTTGCCGAAGGGCCCAGGACGCCGTAGGTTCCGGCAGAGCCCCGGTTCCCTGCCCGTGCCCACCTCGGTGTTGCAGGGTCGCATCCTGCAGCTACTCCCGCATCCTCAATCCAAGGCGGTGGGCCCTGCCCGGCCGAGCCCAGGTAGTGCCTGCGGGAGGGAAGCACGTACCCTCGGCCGGCCGGCCGCCGCGATCGGGATGTGGGAGGACGAGCCGGACCGGCGGCGCAGCGACAGCGCACGGCGAGGACCCGTTGGCTCCTCGCACGCCGGTCTGCACGGCGGGGCCGGGGCGGGGCCTGGTGCGGGGCATTGTGGGAAAAGCGTGGAGGACGCGGGTTGGGAGCACCGGCCCCAGGCCTGGTAGACGAGGCGGCGGGAAGGGCAGTGTAGGGTTAGGTTGACGTGGCCATCTGCGCCGGATCCGGCTCCAACCCGGACCTGAACCGCTGTGGCTGCGCAGCCCGCGCCCTGCTCCTTTGCTGCCGGCGCCGCAGCAGGGAGGGAGTTGTGAAGCCCGCCCCTTCTTGGTCTTGTTGCCATGGTGACGGGAAACCCGGAGGACGGGTTTTGGCGTGCGATTTCCCAGCGACCCTGTTCTTAAAGTGAAGTCGGGTTATAATTCTAGACGGGATTTGTCTGGTTGATTGGTGCGTGAGGCAGGGAGGGGAAATTTTGCGGAAAAGGGGAAGCTTGACTGAAGTGGCATTGATAGCACTGTCAACCTAGAGGATTGCAAAGGCAGTAGGAACCTTTGGAGAAATTATTTACGAGTGCGTGTGTATCAATAAGGAGCTCTGGTGGCGCAGTGGATAAAGAGGTGGCTGCTAACATAAAGGCCGGTGGTTCCAACCTACCAGCCCCTCAGCGGGAGAAAGATGGGGCAGTAAGCCTGCCTAACGATTACAGCCTTGGAAACCCTATGGGGCGGAACTCTGGTGGCGTAATGTCTAAGAGTTTGGCTGTTAACCAAAAGATCCGGCAGTTCGAACCTACCAATCCCTCCTTGGAAACTATGGGGCAGTTCTTCTCTATCCTATAGGGTGGCTATGAGTCCGAATTGACTCAATGGCAACAGGTTTGGTTTTAGTTTGGTTTATCAACAAAACATTTATTGAGCATTCTTGAGTATTTCCTGGCTTGCCTGAAATACAAGATAGAAACTGGGGAGTTACTGGAACTTCTCTCACTTCCTCACCTTTACACCTCGAAGATACGTACAGAGCTGCAGCAATATAACTAGAACAACTGAAGTAGCTACATTTGCAGTCACCAAAAGAGAACAAATCATGGTGAAGAGGATGCCTGCTTATACGCCAGTCCAGGGATGGATTACCCAATAAACAAGGTGCATACAGGGATTGTTTGTGTTTACTTACTAATCTCTGATGTGAAAAACAGATGAAATTGTGCACTACAGATTAGTAAGTAAGCACAAATCAGCCCATGCATATCTTGCTTACTGGTTAATCCGCCCCTGCACCAATCCTAACATAAAATACATTTGGTAACATCTTCATGGATAGTAGAGCCTTGGTGGAGCAGTGGTTAAGAGCTTAGCTGCTAACCAAAAAGTTGGCATTTCAAATCCAGCAGCCATTCCCTAGAAACCCTATGGGGCAGTTCTACTCTGTCCTATAGGGTCGCTAGGAGTCGGCTAGACTCCTTGGCAACCTGTTTGGTTTGTTTGTTTTCCCCATGGGTAGTAAATGTCAGTTTATAAGAAATTGATGACTACCTAGGATCCACGGCTAAACTAATATATAGTAGGAGAGAAGAAGAAGTAGCAAGAAGAAAGGCAGAAATGTTAGAAGCAGCCTGATGTAATAGTAGTTAACACGTGCCAGGAACTGGTCTAAGCACACATTTTACATGTATGAACTCAATCCTCAAATCTTCCAAATAGTCTTATGAAATAGTGCTACACAGTTGAGGAAACTGAGACACAGTATGTGATAGATCTGGAATTCACACCTCGGCAGCCTGGCTCCAGAGTTTGTGATATTATTGTGGACCCACAGAATGCTTAGAGTGAATTAAAAAGAAAGAGAGCAAAATGGAAAATTTAGTAGGGGCCAGATTATAGATAATTTTTATGCCATGATAAAGACATGCAGTTTATCCTTTAGGTAATGAGGAAGCTATTTAAAGCTTTAAGTAAGGGACTGAGAAGATCAGATTCATTTTAGATCATGCTGGCAGCTATGTGGAGAGAGAATTCAAGACTGGAGACAGGGAAAGCAGTTAGGAGACTTAAATAGAGTAAAATTGGCAAGAAATAGTGATTGGTTGGATGTGAAAAAGAAAGGAGAGGGAGGTTAGCTTCTGGTTTGGGTGACTGAATGAGGACTTGTTTAGAGAAAAGTTGAAGGGTGGTGATTTGAACATAACTAGTTCAGGGTCCCTGAATTATGTCCAAATGTATGTTCCATAAAGCTCATGGGAGATGTCTAAACTAGAGAAAAAATTAGGGAATAATCAGCTAATCCGTGATAGTTGGACCCTTGAGAATGAATGAGATCAACCAGAGAAAGTGAGCAAAATAAGAGCTGTGGACCAAGTGTAGAGGACCTGGGGTGGTCAAACGGTTTGCATTTAGCTGCTAACGGGAAGGTTGCCACGGGAGAAAGGCCTGGCAATCTGCTTCCATGAAGATTACAGCCAAGAAAACTCTATGGAGCTCAGTTTTACTCTGTAACATACGGAGTCACCATGAGTTGGAATCCACTCGACTGCACTGGTTTTGGTTTTTTTTTTGTTTTGTGGGACCAAGCATAAAATCCTGGGGATTTCTCCTATCAAGAATGTAAGCTCCATAAAGACATAGATTTTTGTTTTATTGACTCGTCTCCCCAGCTATGCCTAGCACATGGTCGGTACTAAATGTTTTTCTTAGCTACTCTAGTTACTTTAACTTTCTGTATAAAGTCTAGAATAAACTTGTCTATATCTATGAAAACAAACAAACAAACCTTGCTGGGAATTTGATAGGATTTGTGTTAAACCTATACATAATTTCATGGAGAATTGACATGTTTACTATGGTGAGTCTTTCAATCCATGAACAGTGTACCTCTCCATTTATTTAGATTTTCTTTATTTGATCAGTGTTCTGAAGTTTTTAGCATATGAGTCTGGTACAAGCTTCCTACACTTTTTTTAATAGTTGTAAATAGTATTGCGGAGCCCTGGTGGCGCAGTGGTTAAGAGCTTGGCTGCTAACCAAAAGGTTCGCAGTTCAAATCCAGTTCTTGGAAACCCTATGGGGCAGTTCTACTCTGTCGTAAGGGACCCTATGAGTCGGAATCAAATTGACAGCAACAGTTTCTGTTTAAAATAGTGTTGTGTTTTTGTTTCTACATGTTCATTGCTAGTATATAGAAATACAGTTGCTTTTTATGTGTTGTGTATTTCGTGACCTTGCTAAATTCATTAATACTTCTAGGAGTGTTTTTATAGATTCTTTGAATTTTTCTACATAGACTACCAAGTCATCTGTAAATAAGGAGAGTTTTATTCTCTTTCTGATCTGTATGCCTTTTATCTCCTTTTCTTGCTTTATTGCACTAGTTAGAACTTCAAGTACTATTTATTTTTGAGTGAGCTTTAGTAGTTTGTCTTTTAAGAAAGTTGTCCATTTCTTCTAAATTTTTAAACTTTTGTTCATAATATTTTCTTATTGTTCATTTTAGTAACTGTAAAATCTGTAAGATGTCACCTCTCTCATTCCTGATATTGATAATCTGTTTTTAATCCTTTTTTCCCAATTGGTCTGGTTAGGGGTTTATCAATCTTACTCATGTTCTTAAAAAACAGCTTTTTGTTTTATTGATATTTCTCTATTGGTCTTCAGTTTTCTATTTCATTAATTTCCTTTCTGATCTTTATAATTTCCCCATTTTTTACTTATTTTGGGTTTAATTTGCTCTTCTTTTTGTCACTTAAGATGGAGGCTGAGGTAATTGATTTAAGACCTTTCTTTCTTTTTTCCTCGTGTAGGCATTTTGTACTATAAATTCCCCCCTAAGTACCGCTTAGCAACATCCCTCAAATTTTGATATGTGTGGTTCATTTTTATCCTACCCAAAATACTTTCTAATTTTCCTTTTGATCATTTCTTTGACTTATGCATTATTTAGAAGTGTGTTCTTCAGTTTCCAAATATTTGGGGATTTTCCAGAGGTCTTTTTGTTATTGGTTTCTAATTAATTCCATTGTGGTCAGAGAATATACTTAGTATGATTTCAATCTTTTTTAATGTATTGGGTCCTGTGTTATGGCCTAGAATATGGTCTGTCTTGGTCAGTATTCCATGTACCCTTGAATAGAATGTGTATTCTGTTGTTATAGGTTAGAGAATCTATAAATAATAACTGGGTCAATCTGATTGACAGTGTTGTTCAAATCTTCTATATTCTTATAGATTTTCTCTTTACCTGTTACCAAAGTATTGAAATCTCTGACGTTACTTGTGAATTGTCTATTTCTCCTTTTAGTTCTACCAGTTTTTGCTTGTATTTTGAAGCTCTGTTATTAGGTGCATAAATGCTTTGGATTGTTATGTCCTGTTGAAGACTTGGCCTCTATTTGTTTCCTGTTTCTTAGGAATCACTGTCCTTCACTGACTGATGTCCAGTGTTGTGAAAACAATTTTGTCATGTATTTTTTGGGTGTTTCATTTGGGAGGGTAAATCCAGTCCCTGTTACTCCATCGTGGCTGGAAGTCTTCCTCTAAACTTTTCAACACTTCCTTTTGTTCCCTCTGCCCTAGGATTGATTGCTGCTTCTTGCAGTTGCTGCCTCTTTAATAATTTTGTGTTTTTGTTTCTTCAGTTCTTAATACTTAATTAACAATTCTTTATTTAAATTCTCTCTGATAACATAATTCGTGTTGCTTCTGTCTCCTGAATTTCTAACTAATACATAAATTGGGACCAATAGTAGTTCCAGGAAATAGACCTTCAAACATGGAATTTTGGGATTTTGAA